GGGGCTTATTGGGAGGGGGGTTCATGGCGATGTATCTTTTACTGTAATAATTTTTTTATTTAGACATTTGCTGTATTTTTTGATCACACCTTGTATAGAACCTCAAATTTATTCGTTTCAGGAGGCTGTATTTGCAGTACAAGCTTATCAGAATGGGAATTGTTTAGGGCCTGGGAACAGATTAATTCACTTTGCATTATTTCTAATGGGGAAAACTGATTTGGACTTGGAACGATTCAGAGTTCAGTTGGCCTCCCGAAATGAATCAAGTTCAAAGTGCGAGGCACCCCGGCGGATATTAAACAGATCTTGGACCAAAACGGTGGCCTCAGGCAGCCCATTGCGTGAAGGCCACATGGCTGCCATCCTGAGAGGAGCGCACGTCGGCTTGGAAGGAATTCCTGTGGCCGCCCCTCAGCTGATGAGGAGAAAGGGGGTTCATGTCTTAGTTGTGCCCACAAGCTGCCGAGTAGATGGAGGCCAGGCCCTCCTCGGGGTGAGTGGTCCGGCATCTGCTGCGTGTCCCCTCCAGACCTGCCCCTGACCTCTTTTCCTTGGTGCTTGTAGGAGGCAGAAGCGGTTCCTCCTCCTCCTCCTCCTGTTGTCTGTGTCCAGCCTGTCCCTGTCGAGGCAACACTCATCCCATCTTCCACGTCACAGGTTTTTATTCCTTTTTTCTCACTCGCATGCTAATTGCAGTCCGGAGTGAGAGTGTGGCTTCTGCTAATGCATGCCCTGCTTGGTGATTTTGGGTTTTGCTTCTGCATGTTGTGGAAGATCGTCGCCACCTTGCTTTTTGCAGGAGTGGTGGCGCTGTAATCGGGCATCTGCGCCAGAAGCGCATGTAGGTCGGAGCCAAAGGCCCATGGAGACGCATGTGTCCGGGTGCAGAGAGAAGCCAAGAGGCTGGTGCAGAGCAGTCCCGTCCTCCCCCGCCCGCTGCAGAGAGCAGTCCGGCTGAGTAGCGTCCAGGTGCTCCGCTGCCTGGCCCACAAGCAGTGGGGACTTTCCTGAGGGTGGAGCTTCTGCCCTTTGGTGGGGAAGAGTGGAGGAGGGTTCAGCATTCTGGCATAAGCTGTAACCTCCGTCTAATTAGCTTGCTTCCTGACCTGACAGCCTTTGCCATGTTCTTTTCAGAAACATAGTAGCAGAGTGAGTCAGAAGGGGCCTCCGGGGTCTAGCCGGCTCCGCTCATGACATGCCTACCATGTGCATGCCCAGCCTGTCCTTGAACACCCTCCCCACTGGGGCTTCAGCCCTTCCGTGCCCGTGCCCTGGGGGTCCTAACCGTCAGGAAGGACTTCCTGGCATCCACCCTAAATCTTGGTTCCCTGAGCTTTGCCCCGCTGAAACGCGTCCTGCCCTCCACCGCAGGGGAAAGAAGGTCCTGACCCACCTCTGTGTGGCACCCCCTCCCCTACCTGTATGTTGCCAGCAGGTCCCCTCGGAGCCTCCTTTTCTCCAGGCTGAGGAGACCCAGCTGCCTCAGTCTCCCCTCGTAAGACGCAGTAGAATTACCTGCACAGCTGCCACTCTGCCTCTGGCTTTCTACCTCCATTCGTCTCCGTGGTCTCTGTGCGTCGCGCACACGGGCCTGCACAGGGCCTAGACCGGGTGTGCTGAGTTGGGGGGAGCCTCTCCAGGAGGTGCAGGAGAGGCACTCATTCCTGCGCACTCCCGCAGTTCGTTTTTGGTCGCCAGTGGGTGAAACTTGGCATCGCTCCACTCTCTGTTTCTGCCATGAAGTGCTCACCCTGTTTGCTCCTCCTCGCCTGGCCTTGCATCTCTCGTGCCCTCTTGCTTCCGCTCAGCTACCCACCGGCCCACTCGCACACTTTTCTACAGTGCCCCGCCCCCAGCATGCATTGCTGCCTGTGTCTCCCGGTGTTTCCCCGAGATCCCAACCTGCGCTCTCCCCTCCCCTCCCCTCTCCTGCTGCTCCCCCTGGCACGGTGGCGCCGGCAGCCTCCCGTGAGTGTGCCTCCTGCGAGGCCGGCCTGCCACCCAGCAGGGTCATCTCTGCGTCTCTCTGCCTTGGCCAGGAGTGCGTCGTGGAGACCTGCGCCCCTTGCCAGGCTTCAAGAAGCGGATCTGCTGTCAGTGGGCAGGTTGGCTGAAGGCCAGATGGTGGAGCAGGGCCCTCTGGGTGGCCGACTGGTCCAAACAGGGCCCAGACCGCCCTTCGACCTGTGAGGGCCACGAGGCGGTGAAGGCTGCGAAACCGCCAGTGGGGAGGGCGGGATTGGCTGGAGGAAGGGCCTTCTCTGTAACTGCCCCACATCCTTGGAACTCTCTTCTGGAAGGGTGTGACTGGCACCCTCATCGCCCCATTCCCACTGCCAAGTGAAGACCGTTTTATTCAGCCCTTGTTCTTAGATTCATGCTTTTATTTGGTTTTCGCTGCTGGCTTTATTGTTGCTTATATTATTGTTCTTTATCCTCCGTTTTTCTCATTTTATGTTAGTTGGATTTTATGTGCCGTTCTGTTTATTACATTTATGTTATGATGTTGTTTCTTGTGAGTCAGAGAGTCCTCAGGTGGCATATAAATGCGATGGGTGGGTGGGTGGATGATGAGGGGCCATGTGAGCCCGTGCCGGGGCCCTGGCTCCCGCCAGCTGCCCGTCGATCCTGCAAGGCTGGGAGGATGATGTCCTGGTTTATGTGGGAGGAGGAAGTGACCTTGGGCCTGATGGCCGGACCTGGGCGGAAGACTGCCTTGTGCCTGTGGAAGGCCGGGTAAGGGTGTGAAGCGCTTGCTGGCTTGGCAGGCAGATGTGACAGCTACTGGAAAGGCTGCATAGAAGCATGTATTCATTTTGCAGCTTTATCAGACAACAGGCAAGTTTTCTGGGCATTGCACAACTGTCACTAAATACAATAAAAATATAAAAACAAATAGGAAAAGACATAAAATTACATTGGACATTTTAAACCAGATTTTAACAACTAAAACCAGGCCGTGCTGCTAGGCCTGCTATACACAGCTGACAACACCCCCCACCGCCAGCTCCATGTGCCATGTGGAGCTGGTAGATACCTCAGCAGAGAGATGTCATTCACCTGACGCCGGAACGGTAGCAAAGCTGGTGCCCCTTGGGCCTCCCTGGGGAGGCCATGCCTTAATTTGAGGGCCGCCTCAGAGAAGGCTCTGCGTGCTGCCACCATCTGAGCCTCCCTTGGAGAAAGCCTTTGGAGAAACATCTCAGACGCCGAGTGTGGCATCCAGATGGATTCCTTTGCCTTCCCCTTTCCAAGTTTGAATTTAGTGTGAATATGGACTCTGATTGAACAAGGCTGTAAGAATGCAAGTTACAAGGGCCTTATTTTGTCTTTTGGCAACAACATGAGTTTCAGATGCGCATATGGGGTGATTTAATCTATAAGTAAGTAGATCTGAAAATCACACTTACCTTCTCGTGTGGCTGCTGACCTTGCCGGTGTGCCACTACTGTGGCTTTGAGCTGAGCTGGAAAAGGCCTAGAAGGCCGTGGAGCCCATCCCCTGCTCTGCTTCCATGTGGGGGCACCCAGCCAACCGGACCAGCACCTTGCCAGCCTAGCAAAGGTGACTCTGCATGCTGGCTTGATGTGTAGCTATGCTATGCGTAAGAAAAGACTGAGGTTTTCCAGGTGGCTTTCTTTGTAACAGCGGTGTCTGCTGCTTTTACATAATTTCACATTGTTTAAAACGTAATGGTATTTATCCAGTAGTTATTTTCCTTATTTCAGCCTTGGTTTTAAACTGCTGGTTTACATGGTGGTTTTATTGCAACATGAGTGCGTATTCTACGAGCTGTTGTGTGAGTTGTGGCGGGGATGTCGCACACGCACACAGGCAGCACGGGGGTCGGATTCGGAGTGACTGTCTCGGCCTTCCATCAAGTCGCAGCAGCTCCCTGGAGCCTGCCAGGCTTGGCGGATGCTCTCGCGGGTGCAGGGCACGCGGAGCGAACAGTTGTTGCGGCCACACCGCCCGGCCCAGGATCGCACGAGGCCGATGAGGTGCATTTGATGGCCCAGGCCCTGTGCACCAGCAGGTGGACCGTGGGCGAGGCAGGTCCTCCCAAGGGGCCTGGAGGCTTCCGAAGTCCCATCATACTTAGTACCCTAAACTGGCCTGCGTTGGCTTGGACTTTCCCCAGCCTTGCTTCACACACAGAAGCATGCAAACCGAGCGAGGCAGAAGGGGTCCCCGGGCCATCTAGTCTGACCCCCGGCTCCAGCTGGCTCTGCTCGCTACATGCCCACCATGTGAACATCCAGCCTGTCCTTGAACACCCTCAGTGATGGGGCCTGAGCTACCTCCTGGAGAAGCCCCTTCCGTGCCCTGGGGGCTTGGTGCTGGCCTGGTCCGAGGATGTTTGGGCTTGCCTTGGGCCCCAAATGGTTTTCACGCTCAGCAAAGCCACAGGTTAATTTGAAGATACCACTTCTTTCTTTCATCCTAGAAAATAGGAGCAGGCCCCTAGTCAGGTCCCTTCCGTGGGGGTTCGGTGTGTTTTTTAACCTGCTGCCTCCTGCTGTGGTCCCCATCCAGATCGGGAATCCTGCGGCTGCACGTTTCATTGCCAAAATCTGATCACTGTTTTACAATGGACATTGCAGATATGTCTCCCCCCCCCCCCCCCGGTTCGGTAACAGACCAATCTGGGCTAAGTTTCCTGTACTAGCTGTATCTTCAACGTAACACATAGCTTGAGTCTTACACAAAGGCATTCACAGGTTTGGAAAGATTTCTGGATATGATCAGCAAGAATCTGGCTTTCAAATGAATTAACAGTTTGTTAACCGACATGTAATCAAACGTCAGAGTAATTGGTGGCTTCTTTCACTGGGTGTTGCTTATTCATCTTTACGAACAGGCAGCTTGCAAGTCTCGCAGAGCAGTGCTGGTCCCTTTAAAGCGAGCTGTGGTCAATATGCCAGCCAGGAGTTTGGGCCGGTGACTGTCCCTCAGGTGCTGCTTCTAATGTGCACCTTTCTGTTTTGAATCTCAAGGCAAACCCTCCTCCAGTTGTGGTGAACACGGAAACTGCGGAGGCACCAACTTACGTAAGTTTCTCCTGTATGTCCTTGAGCAATGCTAAGACTTCCAGGCCGCTTTGCATGTCATGCCAGACCACTAAAAGGAAGAGCTGAGGTGGAGTTGTCGCTCGCCGAACGACCCTCGGTGCTCCCGATGGAGAGTGGGCGCACATCAGTTCGGCGTGTCGCTCCCCCCCCTGACCCCGCCGGTCCTCCGGCCCCCTCCAGGCATGCATTGCAAGCTCCCTTGCGCCGCACGCCCTCCTCCCGGCAGCAGCATCGCTCTCTTACCACAGCGCCCTTGCAATCGTGCGCTTCATTCGTAACTGCCCTTTTCTGGCCTTCACAAGTACGCAGGTGCATGATTTCCCTTTCGCCTGTGCCTGCTTTCCAGCTCATCTGTCCGTTTTCTTACACGTTGCCCACTCCATTCCGGTACTTCCATCGAGAAGTTTATTGTGAGGGGACCTCCTTGTTATGAGGGCAGGTTGGCAGATGAGACCAGCCAGCTGGGATACGGATGGGATGGAGTCGCGGCTTTTGGTCCACACCCTTGGTTGAAATGGAAATGTTTACTATTCTGCTCACGTTGAATGCCAGTTAATTGCATGGCTTTGTTGCTCAGCTTGTATGTGAAATGTTAGGGTTCTTAGTGTACCTTGTAAGGGGGGCCTGCTAGGCAGAGGGTGTGATTTTATCACTCCATCAGGTGAAGCAGTGTGAGTGTCCCATCCTCTTGTGCCAAGCATGGGTAACTCGCGGCCTTCCGGTCGTCTTGGCCTGCAGCTCCGCCTGTCTCTGCTCCCTGACTGTTGGTGAGGCCCATGGGGGTCTTAGACTGAAATGCGCAGGGAGTCACACGCTGCCCACTTCTGCTCTGTGAATGAGGCTGAAACCCCACGGAGCCATGGATGCTTAACCTTATGCCCATTCTTAGCAGCATCACAATCACGTTTGCCTGTCAAATGGCCGTCGAAAGCCCCGAGGTTGCAAGTACCTCTGTCTGAAGGTGCCCTTGCGGGAATGGCAGGCCCTGTCATGCAGGCCTGCGAGCGCGGCTGTTGCTACAGGTCGCAAGCTGCCCGGAACCCACTGGCTGCAGGCCAGTTTCTGTCAGGCTGGCTAAACTGGGTCACAAGCTGGACTGGTGTGTATGATCACCACAACAAGCCACGATGGACTATGATAGCCGTGGGTGTCAGCTCGTGCCCCCCCCCCCCCCCCGTGGCTTCTCATGCTGTGAGCCTAGCGGGTTTATTGTGGGGGGTTGCTATTCAAAAAGCCACCCTTCCCAGGTTCAGATGGTGTGAGAGGGCCACCGTGGCTCCTTAAGATGACGTGTAAATGCATTGTATTACAACAACAACAACGCAAAATACTGGATTTTCCAGAAAGCCCTTATTACTGGGAGCTGAAAATGAGGCAGTACTTGTTTCCCTATCTGTCACATGGGAATGTTAGTGACAATGTAAGATTTCTGGGCAAATCAGGTTATGTGAATCATTCCAGAAATACTGTTAATTGGCATTAAAAGAATAAACTTATCCTGGCATGCCATGCTTTTTTTTTCCTTGGGGACCAACATTTCCTCCCTGCTGTCGAGAGGAAATGTTTTTTTCCGAAACCAGAAGTAATCGTGGGCACCTCATTCTTTCCTTAGGGGGTGGGTCCTCAAACTACAGCCATGGGCCAAACCCGGCCCACCATGCCCATTTATCTGGACCACCTCAGAGGTTTGGACTCACAGAGATCGTTCTGGACTCGCTCGGAGAAAATGAAGCCGCTGCTGCGTGTGCCCCACACTGGCCCCTGTTGAAAAAGTTTGAGGACCGCCCCCCAGGGTATCCCCGTGGAGTCGTTGCCCTTTTGCTGGCATGGCGGCCTTTTCCGGGCGGCAACCACTGGGGAAGGCATGGAGCTGCTGCTGGGCAGGGCTAGTCTTGGGAGGCCCTGAGGGTCGGGGAGGTCTGTCTTGCGGCACGCGTGGGCTGGCCTTTTCCATGGAACGCGAGCCCCATGGGAGGAAATGGTTGAGGACAGCCGTCTGCTGGATCGTTGGCAACAGGCGTTGTGCATACCCCCCGTGACCAGGTTCTCATGTTTGCTTAGGTCAATGGCACAGACGCAGACTATGAATATGAAGAAATTACTCTGGAAAGGGTAAGTAGTTGTTCTCCCAGTCTTTTAATTTGCTCATTCTCCACACCTGCAGCCTCCGTGAACAGACGAATTTGCATTTTTTCCCTCTCGTGGCCCCTGCTGTCGGTTCTGTGTGGCTCGGAAGAATCCGGTGCACTTGCCTGGCGGGGCCGAGCGCCCGCTCGCCGGCGGGGCCGCTGCCTGCTCCGGCTGAGTCCCCTTCGAGTGGCTGGGGCAGCTTCAGCTGATGTCCCTGGGAGCGGCCTGCCGCCTCCGCCACTGGGACAGGGTCCGCTGCCTCCCGCCAGCCCTTGTGGAACTGCCCCTCCTGATGCAGGAATCCAGAGCTACTCTGAGCCGCTGTGCCTCTAGCTCAGCCTAGTTTCCTGGGAAGCTGAAGCCTTGGACTGGAAGCAGCGAGGGCAGATCAGTGGCCAACCCTCAAAGACGAGGGTGCGGGGTGAAGGGCCGCAGGGCCGCGCCAGGGAGGTGCAGAGGCTGACTCGCCCACAAGCGAGCTTGGAACTGGTGGGCTGCTGCTTGGAGAGGCTCCTCCCGTGCCGCTGGCTGGTGGGCCACTGGCCGCACATGATCCCTGGGGGGAGGGGCAGACTAAAGCCCCCCCCCCACATGCTTCTGGCTGCTTTTGGGGTGCTGGAGGAGGCCTCAGCTTCCGCCCATGGCTCCCGCTTCCCTGCTGCCTTCAGCCACTTGGTGGGACTGGCACTTGTAAGACGGCAGGAGCGAGTGCTTCGCGAGGCAGCCCCCCGCCCGTGTCCCCGGCCACGGCAGCCCCCCGCCCGTGTCCCCGGCCACGGCAGCCCCCCCGCCCTGGCTCCGGCCTTGGACCGCCAGGCTGGAGCAGCGACGCCCACAGAAGCCCCCTCGGTGCGCGAATCCCCCGGGCGCGAACGACCTTACGCGCGGCGGCAGGAGGACAGCTGCGTGAGAGCGTGCACCTGCTTTAGTTGCGCTTCTGCCAGATGCAGGCATGGATGCCGGGACCATTCAGCAGCTCGAGGTCGCGTTTGCCCCAGCTGTGGCTAGAAACGGCATGTAAAAGCAGTTCTTCCTTTTGGTGCAGTGAACTCTCGAGGCAGCAGGTGTCTGTTTTTCAGGGAAACTCAGGACTCGGCTTTAGCATTGCGGGAGGCACAGACAATCCGCACATTGAGGATGACTCGAGTATCTTCATCACCAAGATCATCCCAGGGGGGGCCGCTGCACAAGATGGAAGATTGCGGTACGTCGGCCCCACTTGCTCACGCTTTGCTGACGTCTCCTGCCCCTTTTGTCAGCTGTCCTGAAAAGAGGACCCTGTCTGGGGCATGCGGTTCTGATGCTAATGTCATGTAAATAGAATGTAAAGAGGAAGGAGAGACAGGTGGGGGGAGCACGAGGGAGGGAGGGAGGGAATCTGGTAACTGATAGAAGGGAACAGGCACAGGAGTTAAATGATTATTTTGCTTCCGTGTTCTCCCCAAAGCAGGTTTGGGGGGACCTACCTGGTGGGCTAGATGAAGTTGGGGTTATGAGGTCACAGATTGGAGCCACCTCCCTAGAGGTCGAGGCGCTCCTCAGGGTCCTGGATGCTACAAAGGTGCCAGGCCCTGATGGGTACTCTGGGCGGGGGTCCTCTTGCATCCGCTGGCCTTCTTTTTTGAGGCCTTGTAAAAAACGGGAGAAGTTCCGGGGGACTGAAGGTTGGCATCAGTGATTCCAGTCTTCAGAAAGGGTAGTGGAGGGGATATGGGGAACTGCAGGCCAGTTCGCCTCATGTCCACTCTGGGAAAGACAATGGAAAGGCTCATAAGAGGGAAAGCTCTAGAAACCCTGGATAGGGGTGGGAGGTTGGCGGCCACGCAGCACGGATTCCATAATGGTGGAAGGAAGCCCCACGCGTGGGGGCATTCAAGGAAAGATTGGACAGCCACATATTGGGGATTACATATGCGGAGGCGACTGGAGCCGGGGGTCAGACTAGATGGCCTGAGAGGCTCCTCCTGACTCACGTTGTTTCTGTGTTTCAATGTCGTGGCCGCTGTGGGTGGAGGAAAAGCAAACGGTGCTTTGGGTGTGGTGTGGGGATGCGCGAACAGTGATCCTGGCTGGCCGGCGGGGAGAAGGCAAGTGCGTGTGAGTGAGGGGAAGAGGAGAGAGCACTGGCCGATGGTAAGAGGCTCCCTGGACAAGGCGGAGCCTTCCCTGAGCTGCAGGCCTGGACTGGCATGTGCAGGCCCTCCCTGCAGGCAGGGATTCGCTGTGCTGTGCAGGTGGACCGTGCGCTGCCCTGGCCGTGGGCACTAGGGGTTTGGGGATTCCCCGAGAGCGATACGCCAGCCCCGGTTTCCGAAGGAGATGATTTGTTACTGAGTGGTAGCCGGAGCTAGCTCGACTCACAAAACGCCTGGGGGCAAGCCTCGGCACACGCAGGATCCCAGCCCGCTGGGTGCAGGTAGGACAGCAGAGTCCAAAGGACAAAGGGAGTGATTGGCTCTTACAGCTTTCGGACTTGAGGCATTAGGCGCACGCGTGCAGCATTCTGTGCGATTGAAAGACGTGGTTCCTGGAACGGTCCTGATGCTACGATTTGCACGAGTGTTAAGAAACAGTGAGGTGCAGGGGTAGTATGGCGTCTCCCTGCCTGGACGGCCGGGTTCCCGCTCTGCCTGGAAGCCAAGTGCAGGCCCGTTGCTGCTCTTGCCCGCAGCACGGCCTGATGAGGGGCGCTGCGGGCGTGCGGGGTGCGTGGCCCTCGCGCCATCTCAGTGGCGGAAAGGGAAGCTCCTCAGCTCTGCGGAAGAGACGGCCAGGACCGGGGCGGCTCTGACCACGGCCTGTTGGACTGTTGCAAGCGACTGGGCTCTCGTGCCGAGCGAGGCCGGCCTTTTAAAGGGCTGGAGCCCCAGGCCTGCTCTTTTTAGGGTTCAGGTGCGTTACAGGCCCAAAGGAGCCTTTCCTGCTTGCCGGGTGGCTTGGAATGTTGGGTGGCCAGTTGGGATCGCTATGCATGGCGGGGCCTGGAGACGTCTGAATCCTGCTCAGGGGAATCTTTGCTCCCTGTGTGCAGAGTGAACGACTGTATTTTGCGTGTGAATGACGTGGATGTCCGTGAGGTGACGCACAGCAAGGCTGTGGAAGCCTTGAAGGAGGCGGGCTCCATGGTGCGACTGTACATCAAAAGAAGGAAGCAAGTGACGGAAAAAATCGTGGAACTGAAGCTCGTGAAAGGCCCCAAAGGTTTGTGTTGTCGAATGGGAGCCCCGCTGGAGGGCGGTCCCTCTCGCTGCAACGCCACCGATGCGTCTCTGGGCCCCGGTGTGTTCCCCCTCCTCGCCAGGTGGCAGTTCTCCAGGAGGCCCTTGCCATGGCGAGTCACTGTGTGGGCACAGGTGTCACGTCCAGAGGCTGTGCCAGCGCGGCCCTCGTGCGTGGCCAGGGCTTCCCGGCAAGCAGGCGTGGCGAAAGTGCAGCACCTCACTGCCGCTCTCTTGAAGCAGGTCTCGGGTTCAGCATTGCTGGTGGCGTTGGGAACCAGCACATTCCCGGGGACAACGGCATCTACGTCACCAAAATCATCGAAGGCGGCGCAGCGCATAAGGACGGCAAGCTCCAGATTGGAGACAAGCTCATGGCTGTAAGTTGGAACCACACATTCCCTTTGCGTCCTTTGCACGACTCTTGATAGTCCAGAGAACGTGCTCTTGCCAGTCTTGGTGGAACTTGCCGCTTGGAGTGGCACTTGTGGGACTTGATGGGCATTTCTGGGCTGCAGGCACCCTGTGAAACCCCCACCCCTTCGTGCCCCTCGAGCCTCCCCCTGGCCTGTGGCTGCAGATCCCGCGTTCTCTTTGGGGGCACTGTGCGTCGGGCACGTGAGCTCTGCGCACGTGTGTGTGTGTGTGTGGAGCTGCTTCGGGAAGATTCCAAGGCTGATTAATTAGTGTTCGGGGGGGGGGAGCCCGGCCCCTATCCACAGCTGGGGACGGGGACGGGGCTCCCCCGGAGATCCCAGTTCTCTTCGACTGCTGTCATGAGTGCCTCGGGAAGTTCTTCTCTACTTACCTCGTGGACTTTTTGGCCTTTGCCCTTCCTCAGAATCATATCGTCTCTAGGTTTTTCTCCTCCTTCATTGTCTTCTCACTAGGAAAAGAACATGGATATTATTACTGCTGCCCCCCTCCCACCCCCGCTTTGGCTCCCCTGCCTTCATTGGTTAGGCAAAAAAGCGCTGAAGGCCCCGTTCCACCATGTGCAGCATGTGGCAGCAACCTGCCGCCTGCCAACGGCTGTTCCCCGGATCTTTTTTGCCTGGGAGAAACATATGTTTTCGTCGCCTGCTGTCATTGCCAGGCATTCACTAAACAGGCGAGAAAACATTGGGCAGCCCGCCTAAAAGCTGCCCCCCCCCCCCCGCGGACAACACCCAACCATCCACTTCAGGTGCACCTTCCTCGGCTAATCTGGACAAACGGCTGGCTGAAATATCCACTAAGAATAAGACACCTGAGAAGGACGAAAAAGGGAAATGCCCAGCCTTACCAAAGAGAAAGAAGGTGGCCAGTGCTCCCAGAATGCTCGGATGCCCCCTGTCACTGGCCTCCCGTGCACTGAAGACACGGCACCCACGCAAGACCCAGGCCACCCTTTCATCCCGGCACTGGGACCGGCTCAGGAACCTCCGTTGCCGCCTCCACAAAGTACCTCAGTTTCAGAGGCAGAAATCGAGACCCGTCGCCCACAATACTGCTGCAACCAGCCCCTGCCTCAGCACGGAGGTGCGACTCCCCTGCGTCTTCTATCCTGAGTGTTCTCCTTTCTACCCAACCGGATGGATGCCGTTACCACTCTCAGTCTCTGATAAGGAGCATTGTTCTTGTTAGTCGCAAAGTCGTGTCTGACCGATTGCGTCCCCACAGACAGCACTCCTCCGGGCCCTCCTGTCCTCCTCCATCCCCCGGAGTCCACTCAAGCTCACGCCGACTGCCCCAGTGACTCCATCCAGCCACCTCATCCTCTGCCGTCCTCTCCTTCTTTTGCCATCAATTGTTCCCAGCATCAGGCTCTTCTCCAGGGAGTCCTTCCTTCTCATTAGGTGGCCAGAGCATTTGAGCTTCACCTTCAGGATCTGGCCTTCTAGACCTTGTCAACTCCCCCCGTTGCCAGGATGTCGAGGTGGAGTGCTACCGAGAACCCGGGGCTTAGTTGACTAGACATGGAAGACCCCATGGGGGGAGCCCAGTTGGATCCTATTGGTACTCTCCTCGTGCTGATACCACCCTCCCAGCACCGCTCCCTGGGCTTGGCAAAACACGGGGGAACAGCGCTGCAGGGTTCCCCTCCATCTGTAATAGAGCATTTCGTACTGTTTTACCTGTCCATTGCCACTCAGAGTCCTACACCAGCCAGATGATTATCCTCCTATCTTTCCTTCAAAACCCTTCCAAGCTGGAAGAGCTAGCCCTCCGTTCTGGATGTCTGTAGGGCATTAGCCATTTATAAACCCAAAACTCTGACAATTGCAGAGACGATTGCATATGGTGTCCCACACCAGGGAGCTCCTACCTCCCCCCAAAGACTCTAACTGGATAGTTCATGCTGTATCTCTAGCCGATGAACTCTCCGGCTCCGTTAGAGTACATGCTACTAGGGCAAGTGCTACCGCTGCAGCCTTGTATGCAGGAGTGTCTCTCACTGACCTCTGCAGCGCAGCTGGAGAGGACTGTGCCTTTGGTAGAGCTGAGACCCTGGAGAGGATTGCGCCCTCGCTAGAGCTGTCCTCTCCTCCCTCCTCTCCCTCCTCAGCAACACGGCCGTCCTCTTTGAGGTAAGCTTGCCAGTCGCCCACACGTGTGATGCACGGAGACCACGAAGAATGAGGACAGGGTGTCCTACCTGTGACTGTCATTCTTGGAGTGGCCATCTGTGCATCCACACATGCCCACCCACCCTCTCCCTGGTGTCATTTTTTCCCTCTGATGCAGCATTAACACATCTCTTATCTACATGTGGTTGGCGGTCTCATTTTTCCGAACTGAGTTTGTGGTGGGAACTCTGCCCCTCACGCTAGATGTGACGGGTCCTGGCTACCACTGAACACTAATGAATCGGCTTTGGAATCTTCCCCAAGCAGACGGCCACTCAAGGAACGGCAGTTGCGGGTAAGAAAGCTGCCCTTCCTTACAGAAAAAAACTTCAAAGGCTACTCGCTTCTCACGCAGCTGAGTCAGATGTCCATCTTTTCTTTCTGGACCCAGAAGATCAGCACTGACCATTGTACATGGCCTAGGCTGTCAGGCATTTCATGCCTCGTGCAGGTTGGGGTAAATCAGAGCAGTATGACAGCAGAACCAGCTGCCTGGAGAGGGGGGAGGGGCTCTCCCACACTAGAGGCATTTAAAAAAACTGGACAGCCATCGGCGTGGAATAGTGTACATCCTGCAGCATCAGGGAGTTGGACCTGATGGCCTTCTTGATGCCTTCCAACCCTATTGTTCTGTGATTCTGTGTTGGGAAACTGAGCATAAATTGGTACATCCCAGAAAAATTATTGCTAAATGCACATTAGATGAATAATTTTAATAAGGAACAGAGCCAGGAGCAGGGTGAGGACGCGGGACAGATACCTGGAAGGTCAGGGTCAGGTGGAAAGCCAGAGGAAAGAAAGGAGCTGGCAGGAGTCAAGGCGCAGGGCAGGGCAGGGCAGGGCAGGGCTCAGATCAGGAGCCCAGCCCAGAGCAGCCGTCGCAAAGGCACCGTCACCTCTCAGCCGGGAGCATCTAGCCCTCACTTCAAGCAAACGACTTGCCCACAAACTTCCAGCCCCTACTGGAGGGTAGTTCGGAAACCTGCCACGAGGGACTGTGCCCACACCTAGCGGGAGGCCTTCCCTGACTGCCGTGTGGCGTGGCTTTGAGCTGGCCAAGTGCTTGATGCAGGAAGCACTGCTCTTCTTGAGTTCTCTGTTCAAATGTAGCCTCAAGGAAGCCTCCATCCACGTCTGCGTGCCCACAATCTCATCCTTCCATGCATTGATCCAGGGACTTTCTACCTTCTCTAACCCCTCCACTCACCCATTTCTCCATGGCCTCAAAAATCAGGCCCCATGAGTCTGCTGGAGCCTGTGCATCTTAGCATGTATTACAATATATACACAGCGCAGTCACATAATTAATATTGACATTAAAACAATCAGCTATTAAAAGGTCTGTTTCTGTGCTATTGCAACCTACTAGTCCAGAAATCCAGGGGATCAGCTGGATGTCCATCTCTCAGAATATTTCAAGAATGGATCTCAAGTTCTAACAAAATGATCTTCCCATCCCGTCCTGTCCTGTCCCATAATCCAAAAGTTCCTCTAGGTGGCTTACAATGCTAGAAGGATAAAAACATACATAAATTACAATAAAACAATTATTAATCAGATAAAAGAAAAATGATAGAGCACCTCAAATAAATGTATTCACAAACTTCAATAAACAACCAACAAATTAACCAAAATAAGATTTTAAAAATCCATAACAAAAGTATGAAATGAAATTAAATAAAATCAACCAAAAACGTGTTTCAATAAAAGTTTCCATCTGGCGCCTAAAAGAAAGAAGAGTAGGCGCCAGCCAGGTGCTATCCCTGGGGAGTGAATTCCAGAGTCTGGGCGCTGCTGCTGAGAATGCCCTTGCCCTGGATCTCACGAGGGGAGGGCGCCCGGGGGAGGACTTCCAAAGAGGACCGAAGTGGACAGGAAGGAATATACGGAGAAAGGTACCCTGGCATTTCCCACCGAGCCAAATGGAAGCAGGAAGTTGGCTTTTCCATCAAGGCCACTATCCATATCCTGTCCAGGTATCTCTCTATTGTGTGCCCGTGGGTCTCTTTCCAACCCTTAGAATCTCAGCTCTCGCAGCTCCCTAAAGCATCGCCTGCCGTTCTTCACAATGGAGCCCCGATATCCCCCAGTAAAGGATGAAAAGTAATAGTTTCATCAGAGATTAGTATCTGTTGTATTAGTTTATTCAACCATTCCATGCCAAAGAGTTTTGATTTCTGGACAGAATAACCCCATATACTTAAGTTAACCCTGTAAGCCACATTTTCTCCAGCACATATCTGGTAATGGATTATTAATTTTATGTAATTTTGTGAGGCACGAATGCCTTCCGTAGACTGTCTTTAAAACCATTTTTGGATCCAGCTGACACTGACTGAAAGGGTTTCGGCTTAAATCATACTCTTGCCCATGACTCTGCTGACGTTAAGAATACTTAGGTTTTTCCCAAGTCATATTCGCTCCAATTTTACTACTGCATTCAGTTTCAATAATTGTTTTATAGATAAGTGAGACTAACCCCCCTTTTATTAAATTCTTTAGTACAGTACTCTTCAAATGTTGCAAGTGCTCGTATGCCTGCTAGATTATACAGCCCCAGTTGTGCTGCTGCAGCCGGGCAGGAAGGCGCCGTTCATGCCGCACGGGCTTCCTGCCGAGGAGTGTGGCTGCGCGCACGCCTGTTCCCGGAAGGCTAAAACTGCTCCGGGGGGGGCGGGGTGGGGGGGCGGCTGAAGCTGCCCACTGAGTGTGCTTTCGCCAGCCGGCGCAGCCGCCGAGTTTACGTACCCACTGGGGGGTGTGCACCAGCAGCTCTTGGAAATGCCCCATCTTATTCAGGAATTCGCACATTTAGTCTATCCCTTCCCTTCCTGTCCAGGTGAACAGTGTCTGCTTAGAAGAAGTTACACATGAAGAAGCCGTGACTGCCTTAAAAAATACCTCCGATTTTGTTTATCTGAAAGTTGCAAAGCCCACAAGCATGTTTATGAATGACAGCTATACCTCTCCAGACATCACTAACTGTAAGTTTATTTGTGCTTAACATTTTGCTTATCGAACACTTCCTGAAGACAGAAACAAACAAAAAAATGTTTTCTGTTTGCTGCTTGTGTTGGCCTTGTGTAAGAATGTATCACAGAATTCTTGTGTCTTGCCCTCCCATTTATAAAGAATACTTTCACAGTGGAAACTATGGCTAAAAATGCAGCCACAGAGAAAGACTAATGACAATTCTGCATGGACTGTTAAGTACAAGATCGGCAAGAGTCTGGATGCATGAGCACCCTGGGAGCAGCAAGCAAGGGAGTGGCCGGGAGGGGCGCTGGGCACCAGGAGATTTGTAGAAGTGGTGTGGTATTCAACCCAGAATGGCAGGACCTCTTTCTCCCAAGGGCTGCATGTGTACCTTTCCTTATGGGTTAGGCACGGGCCTTGGCTCCTTGGTCCGTGGGTGGGTCTCCAGGCTGGAAGCACAACTCGCCTTGTGCTTGGTCTGCCCCTTTGCCACTCGGAGTACCCCAAGGAGTGAGGCGGCTGGCTTGTCCTGGCCTTGCTCAGCTCCGAGCTCCCTGCAGAAGGCTTGTTACTCCTCTCCTCCCAACTTCCAGGAATGTTGGAGGCGGGGAATCCTGCCTAGCCGGCATCCCTTCCAGGGCAGGAATGGGGGCAGCTCAGCTGCGCTTTACCACGGGGTCGGGGGGAGGGCAGGACAGAGGCCACCAGAGGCCTGCCGTAGCATCACTTTTGTGTTATCCTGGTGGCGGGGAAGGCGCGGTGGGAGAGCTGCCAGAAGTTTCGCAGCGCTGCGCAGAACATCGAACTTGGCTCTGGTTCCCAGAATGGAGTCAACCTTCGATTTTTTGACTCCTGGCTGAACAGAGGAGAGGAACACGCGGGCCCCCACTGGTCCAGGGAGTATTAGGCACAAGCAACCAGAGTGTGAGCGATCAGAGTGAGCAAGCGGGGAGAGCTCACAGCAGTTTGGTGGGGGAAGGCCCTGACTTCTTCATTTTTCCCTTTAGCGCCCCCCCCCCCCCGCTTTGTTTTCTTCCTTGTCGCACCCTCGCATTTCTTCGTTGTGGTCTCTGCATCACACACGTGGCCTTTGCTGCATTGCACAAGGGCTGGATCAGAGAGAAACTTCCATAGCACAACGTCACGATGTGGGTGGGTGCCCCCTGCCCCTTCCAGGTCCTGGGGTAAGCGGGGGGTCCTGCCCACTTCCTCACTTTCTTTCCAGCTGCACTAGCTGCTGCATCACCTGATTGGACCAGCTTTTGCATCAGTTTTTTTCTATTCACCATTTTTTCCTGCTCTTCCTTCCAGCTTCCCTTTCTCCCTGTTCAAATACGTTCTCTCACTAAAGCTTGCTTTCTCCCACCTTACTTCTACCCACTCCTGGATCGCTACACACGACCGAGGGGATTTTCCCCTTGTAGCTCCCGCCTTTGCCTGCACCCTTTCTTTCTGCTGTGTGCTCCCGCGCCTCCTCCCGCACAGCCGGCCGGCCTTTTGGAGCTGCACCTCGTGCCAGGTGGGCTGGCGTGGGTGGGAGAGGAGTCGGCCAGAAGGAGTGCGGGGCTGAGGGCGCGTGCGCGGGGGGTGTTCCTGCGGTGGCGGAGGCAGTGGACGAGGCACTGAACTGAGCGAGGCAGGCAGAGGCCAGGACGCGTGTCGCCTGCGCAAGGTGTGTGGGGGGCGCGTTTGCTCTGCCCAAGCCTGGCTCCCCAGTGGGAGGCAAGCCAGGGACAGGGATTGCCTGAGGGAGGGAGAATTCTGGGAGTCAGAATTCGGAGGCGCTGGCACAGCAGGCAAGGTGGATGGCGGTGGGAGAAATGAGCAAGCGCCCCTGTGTCAGGCCTGCTGCGCAGTGACATCGGAGTAACAGCAGCTTGAGCGGTTGAACCGGTTGTCCTGACACCTCCAATAAACCCTCCAGGTGTTCGTTTAGTCTGGTCCCGCTAACGGAGGTGATGGAGCGGAGAGGGTTTGCTGCCCCCCCGCCCCCCCGACCCTGCGACAGTTGCTCTTCAGTGGTTGAGGGGACCGGCTGCAAATGCGTTGAACCGCTTGGCGCCGACAGTGGCAGGCTTCGTGTGGGAGGCTGGGCTGCCGTGGGCATCCCCGCAGAGGTGAGGCAGAACGGTTTCCGGAGCATCCGTGGGACAATCCCTGCTTGCAGTCCGGCTTGCAGCGTAATGGATGTGACTTGCAAGGAATAAGAATGAGGAGGGAGGACAAAAGAAGCAAGGCCAGCGCCCGTTCTTGGAGTCAGAATTTTATGTCAGCATAAAAGGCATCTCTGTTGTGTACGTGCCGCCTCTGAAGTGTGGTGAAATACAGATCCAGTAACTGGTTCTGATTACTTGGGAGGTCTCTGGAGGCCTTTACCTCTTGATAGGCTACTCTTGTTTGGTCTGTTATATAAGGGACGATGCTTGCCAGAACCATCGAGAAGCAGCAGTTTAATTGTGTAGCGATACCAGAGCTCACAGACAAATGAAAATCGCCAGATGGCACCGCGACTGGGGACTGGCTAATAAGGGCTTGGCCAACACTGGGGAGGGCAGATTCACCCGCCAGTTTTACTTAATGAAGGGAAGAGAAGAGAGAGAAATGGCACTAATGGTTGTGTGGACAGCTGATCTTTTCTCATTATTGGAATGCCTGTTTTAATGAGAACGTTTGCTTGAAATTAATTTTGTTTTTAATCTTCAGAATTCTGAGCACATGGCTTACTATTTTAAAAAGTGTGAGAATGAGCATCATGTAGAACATTGCTAAAATAAAAAGCGCCAAACCACGGTTTGGGTGACACGGCAGTGCACTGCGCGCTCGGCAACGGACCCGGGAGGGCTGCACGTGCGGCTCGAGGGCCCCAAACGGCCCAGAGGAGGAAGATGGGGAGGCGGAGCCGCGGGCCGTCCGCCCAACTGTGCTGCCGGAACACCGTTTTCCGACTCAGACCTCAGCGAAGTGCTTGAAATGGGTTGATTCTTGGAGGGGCAGCAAGCATCTGTGAAGTAGCTGGCAAGGAGTTGTGTTTCAGCTTGAATGATGGTCACAGTCTTTCTGAGTTCATTTCCTGCCTTGGGTTCGGCGTCAAGTACTTGCAGAGCTCACCGTACTCTTCTCCCTTCTCAGCCTATCCTCAGCCTGCCGGTAGCCACGTGAGCCCGTCCACCTTCTTGGGGCAGTCCCTGACGCCGGCATCGCCGGGACGCTATTCCCCCATTCCCAAGGGGATGCTTGGAGATGATGAAATCACCAGGTAGGCAGCCTCTGCAGAGAGCTCCACGTGCTGCCCGGGATGCCAGATCCAGCGGCGTCCCGGGGGGAGGGGCTGGCCGGGGGAGCCGGGCAGCTTGCGAGGGGCAGGGGCAGCCACGAGCCGAGCCAGCAGAGCAGCGTGGCCGGCGGCGTGGAGCAGCTTTATGCCAGTGCCACCGCAGTCCACTGGTGTCGTCGCGGTGGGAGCCAGATGTCAGGCCCTTTGTCTGCAGAGAGGCTCCCAGGCGCATCTGGAAGCAGTGTGCGATGAAGGCCACACGGCCGCAGGCGGACACCTGGGGAAGCGCTCGGGAAGCGTAGCACCGTTTGGCCTCCACTGAGGCAGTGTCCCAGGCTGGGCGCAGGATGCCGGGCCAGAGCAGGGCTGGCTCTCCGCTTCCTTCCCCCATCATACGGCTGTCCCTGTGCTTGCTTGTGGCTGGAAACAGCGGCAGAAACGCCGTCAGCTCAAAAACAAGGTGCCCCTTGCTCCTGGGAGTTCTCTCAGAGTGCATTTCTGCTTCCAAAGTACTCCCCGGTCCTTAGCACCCTGTTCTCAAGAGCACCGCAGCTCTTTTGCCACGGCTGTGCCGCCAGGTCTCAGTGGCCAGGAGCATGGCCTGCAAGGAGCTGCGCAGCCCTGCAGCGAATGGGTGGTGGCCAGAGGGGCTGCCGCACGGCAGGTCACCTGAGGGAGTGACACCATAAGCGGGGCAGCCGGGGCCCCTGCGGCACCTTCCTAGCTGCAGGCAGTGCGGGAAGTGCAGGGCCGGGCAGGAGCCCACGCGGCTCTTCGGCTGCAGCCAGCCTGCGACTCTTGCCACGCCGCACTCTTGGGCTCTCCGCTCGGGGCTGCCAGGAGCCTCCGCCCACACGTCCCCAGGAGCCCCGAATCTGGCACTGTGGGAAGCCAGGTGACTGCCTTGGGTGAGAAGAGTGGTCGGGAGGGGAGAAGACCCCCCCAACACACACACACACACACACAGACACGCATGCAGGAGGCTGTTATGCAGGGTGGGGTGGCAGGAGAGGCCTGGGTCCAACAGAGCTCTGCCACGGGAGGGAAACTGCATGGAACGTTCCAGGGAGCCTTGTGGGCAGAGCCGGCTGGCTGGGTGGCCCTCGCTGAGGCTGTGGTCAGGTCTCCCCCAGCTCGGCTCCTCTCTCTGCCCTCTAGTCCCAGGGGTTGCATCCAAACCGGTGGGGCTGCTTCTCCTTGGTGTGCCTGAATGGCCGCTTGTTTTCAGTTTTGTTTTGCAGGATGGGGGGTGACTTCTTTGCACCGGATTGGCTGCTTGGGAGCAGAGCTCCTGGGCAAAACAGCGGAGGCAAGAGGCCAGGGGCTGGGCGGGCGGGGGGGGGGGGTGAAGGTCGTGCCCGTGCTGGGCCATCTTGGAGAAGGCAGATGGCGTGTGGCAGGAAAGTGTGGCCTGTAGCTGCGCCCTCTCAGCCCCTGATCAGGCAAGAGCAGGTTTTACTGGGGCCGGGCAAAGGACTGAGGGACTGGCCCCAGTCAGGAGGCCCTTGCCAGGTTTACCGGTGAGGCTGTTCGCATCTTTTTGACTCTCTCCCTTCATAGTCTATTGCTATTAAATTCCTGACTGCGTTTTCCCCATTTTTCCGCTGAAACATTGATAAGCAACTTTAACCATGAGTTTTCAGACTAAAATGGGCACGTCGTTCATTGGTTGTTGCTGCTGTGAAGTGTTTGGTTTCTAGAGGGGGACCAACAGCTGGAATCCTTCCCATCTTTTAGGGAACCACGGAAGCTGGTGCTCCATCGAGGATCTACAGGGCTTGGCTTCAACATAGTGGGAGGGGAAGACGGAGAAGGAATTTTTGTCTCGTTCATCCTCGCTGGTGGCCCCGCGGATCTCAGTGGCGAGCTCAGGAAAGGAGACCGTATAATTTCGGTGAGACGGATGGTTGAGAGGGGAGAAGCAAGAGAGCTCCTGCCCGTTAGCTTGCTTGGTTTTCCTCCCCGTAGGCAACGCTGGCAGAAGTTCGCCAGCCACATGTGGCTCTGCGTTGTGCAGACCAGCGCTCGGGAGGGGTGGTCCCTCCAGCACCTGGGGCTGAGCGGCCCCTTGGCAGCTCCTGCTTCCTCCCGGCTGCAGTTCTGCATCCCAGAGAAGCCGGGACACCCCACTGCACAGTCCCATGATGCTTCCCCTGGCATTTCCCTAGACGTGCTGTGTTTACATTTGCTGTGCAGGTAAATGGTGTAGATCTCAAAGCTGCAACCCACGAAGAGGCTGCCGCTGCCTTGAAAAATGCTGGCCAAGCCGTCACCATAGTGGCTCAGTACCGTCCAGAAGGTAAGCAGAGGACCAGATAGACTCGGGCATCAGCTGCTCGGTGAGGTTCAGTGGCTTTATTCCAGGAGAGGAAGGGAAAGAGAGACTGCGCTGCGTGCACGGAAGCCCCAGCAAGCAGGCGCTCCACAGGCGGCTCTCGGCAGGGCGCCGGGCCCCCGTGGTCTCCCAGGGCTGGTGCTCCGAAGCGAGTGCCTGCCGCTGGCTGGAGGGGAGGCTGGGAACGGCACGGCCACTCAGAGCCGGCAGGGTGCGTCAGAGCACCGCTGCTGCAGTGTGTCCTCGGGACCCGTTGCCGTGGGGTCGGCGGGAGGACCTGGCCGTCTGCCCGCAGGCTGGAGGAGTAGCACGGTGGCCCTTAGCGCTGCAGGCCCCTACCAAGCTGTCCTCCTCGCCCAGCTGCTTCTCCCAGACCGCTGCTGGGCGAGGGCGACTGTCCGAACCCAGGCTGCACCGGAGCTCACCAGGCATGTGCAAAGCAACAGGCCGGTGGGGGGGGGGGCTCCTTTCCCCCCAAAGAGCCCTCCTCTTTTCGCCTGCACGTTCCTGCCACGCACGCCTCACCCCCGTCCGGTTCATTTCTGCAGCCCGCGCACACTGGGTAGGGCGAGGCGTTCTCTCCTGGGCAAGCTCAGAGGGATCTGGAAGCTGCCAGCTTCTGCTGGGCTTGTCAGCCTGGTGGGACACACGTCCCGAGGCGTTTGCAGGGGACGGGACGGGACAGCTTTTAAAGAAAGAAGGAAGTCGGGAGCTCCGCAAGACCTGCCCAGATGTGGGAGGGTGTGCCTGGCGGCGCCTTGTCCTGCTCAGGAATGCAGTCCAGGCAGGCTGGATCAAGCATGGCCCGATGAGGGAAACGCTGCTGGGCGGTCTGGAGCAGAACCGCTCCCGCCGCCTGTGGAGGGAACACGGCTCAGCAGCCGTTGGACCAGCGCTGGCCATCGAGGGGCTGCTGTCCACCGGGGTGGCCAGGACTGCTGCCGGACTGGCCCTCCACGGGGACCCCTTCCACATGACTGGTGCTGCAAAGGCCTTTCCTTCCGGGCAGCAGGCAGCTGCATCCTGCCCTGCGTCGTTCCGCAGGAGGCCAGGCTGCTGGCGGGTGCCCGGAACTGGCCCTGCTCCTGGGCTGCCCTCGAGGCTGGGCGTGTGGTCCCTGCCCGCCTGCACCAGCCGGCTGGCCTGGGTGGCTGCCCTCTGCCTGGCCTCCAGCGTCGAGTCGCCTGCAGTGCTGCCGTCCCCCTCCAGCTGGAGGACCGCATGGCTCTGCTCGAGCTAGTATTCCTGTCCCATGCACACATCCCTTTTGTTACCATTGTCCATTTTCTTTTACACAGCTTTTGCCATGTCATATGAGATAAGAATGTTTCTATTTTAAAAAAAAGTATTGGAGATTCCTAAATTTTGATAACACGAAACCTGGAGCAGTCAGAGTGGGAATACTGAGCAGCATCAGCGGGAGGGCGTAGTAGACTCTCTCTTTGGGTTTCTGTCCCAGATTGAGCGTGTGTTGCCTCCCCTCGGCAGAGTACAGCCGTTTTGAAGCCAAGATTCATGACCTGCGCGAGCAGATGATGAACAGCAGCATCAGCTCAGGATCCGGGTCTCTGCGGATGAGCCAGAAGCGCTCGCTCTATGTCAGGTAAGGCCACTTTGTAGGCTCTGCGTTCTCCCATTGATCGGCTGGGACCTGGCTGCTCTTGGATCGCCCAAGATGCTGGAGGATGGTGGTTCCTCTTTGAATGGCTGGACTGCCCTTGCCGTGGCCAGTCGCCCCCACGGCTGCCTGCATTCGGGATGGTTCAGAATCGGCAAGTGGCACCAGCGGTCCCTGGGAGCAGCCAGGATGTGCAGCCTGTGGGAGGGGTCCCTGAGGACAAGGAATTCGCAGGTGTAGGCCGGCGCTGTCCCGCCTGTGGGGAGGTGTCGGCACAGGCCCCCAGCAGGAGCTGCTCGTCCTTGGTTGGAGATGCTTACCTTAAAAAATGGCTTCCCTGAAAGCTCCTCTTGCGACCTGGGAAAGCCTCTCAAGCAGGAAGAGGAGGAATTCCCATCCAGGCCGAATACGATCGAGAGCCTTTTCGCGGAAGACCGGAGCTCTTTGTGCCGTTACCTGGTCAGCAGCCTCCGCAACCACCTCCCTTGGGGACATTGCTTGGGTGCCGTCTGGAGATGTTCCATGGAGGGCTGCTGAGGAGCTGGTCTTCTGGCCAGCCTTTGGCAGGGCTGTGCGTGTCCTCCCCCAGCGAAGGCTTCCCCGCTTGCTTAGAATGACACCTGTGGGTGCCTGACACTTGCATGGTGAGGTCGGTGACGGGCTGTCGACTTGGAGCCAGCATTAAAAGGTCATGCAAAACACACCAAGGTGCAAGATGCTTCAGTCTCGCTTTGAGTCCTGGGCAGCAGTGCTTAAGGTAGAAACAGAAACCGAGCGAGTTAGAATGGGTCTCCTGGGCCATCTAGTCTGACCCCCGGCTCCAGCTCTCTCTGCTTGTCCAATCTGCGACATGTGGTCATCCAGTCTTTCCTTGCAGTTATCCCGTTCTGGGCGCACCAGCGTCATGTGGAGCGCTATCAGCACCTCCCTGGATCTGGAAGCCACATTTCCGGCTTTGGGAAGGTGTCATTGATGAGTCTGATTCTTTTTTTTTAAATTATGTCCCCCCACCCCCCAAAAAAGATGCTGTACAGCTGAAAGAAAAACATACAGCTAAAACCATTCTATAATAACAAACCTGCTAAAGTCATTCTCTAATGACAAACTCATGCATCCCACCACCGAGACCATTTGGTACATGCTAGTTTGTAAAAACGGTCTTTTCTTCTTACTGACAAACATCAGTATTCTGAAATCCTACATATCTTTCCAGTCTTCATTACTAGCATTTCTTCTTAAGTTTGTTTCCCGCGTTGCGTTAGGAGGACGGTACTGATCCTCGTCTTGAGGCTGATGCTGTGGCTGTGGCTGTGGCTGTGGCTGCGGCTCCACCTGTTGTTGTCCCATCTAGCCCACTCTCAGCTAGTTTGCTAATCAGGACATCATGGGGCTCCTGGTGGTGCAGTTTTTTAGCCTGTTGTGCTTCCAGGATCCAGGAATCGTGAATAGCTGTAGTTTTGCCTTTGACCTGAGTTTGTACGTTGGCCCGAGTTGAATGAATAAGGGGCAGCCCTTACCTGTTCCCTGCACGGTGCGTGTTGCTTCTTTTGACCTCCATGCTTCATCCCTGGGGAGCTGCCATTGCCTCACTTGGAGGCCATCTGAGAAAGAGCTCTTTGACTCTGTTAGTGCCACATGCTCTTTTGGTCCAGGAGCGTGGAGCTTGTGGGCTTGCGTCCTTGGTCAGCATATGGACCTGCAACGCCCCCTCTGGAGCCGGGAGCGCCTGCTTCCGAGTCTGCCTTGCGGTGCCTTAAGTGCGACTGTAGCAAATCACGGGCACGTTTGAAGCCCAGCCTCTCTATGCGGCATTACTTATCCAACTGGCATTGATATGGGTGCAGTCAGAAGGTCTTACTTTAGCTCCATTAAACCGATACCATTGTGCATTTTTATTTCCCCACCAATATCCACAATCATTTTTCTTTGTTGCGTTTGCTGTAGCCCAATTTGGCATCAAGGCCTGCTTAATCCTTCATATGGTGCAGTCTTTCAACTGTTGTTTGCACCATCTGGAAGCTTGCATAAGCTCATGTTTTGCAACTGCATCTTGAGCGGCTCATGATAGTTGTTTGCAAGGCACAAGAGGCAGAGGGGCACCTTGACTAAATCATTCTGCAGAGTTTGTCCTTGCAGCCCGTTGCAGTTATAACCAATTTACAAATAGAAATGAGTTGCCAAATAAAACCAGACACTGAAAAATCCTTCTCTGACTCTTCCTGTTTAAGCTTCCTTTGAAAAAATCATCCCTAAATTAACTAACAACATGGCTTTTTAAGTGTGTTAGAAGAGATTCATGAAGGGGTGGGGGTTTTTTATATGAAGACTGGCCCTTGACAGGAAAAAAGCTACAAACTATTCTGAATGAATTAGATGTTCTGCACGGTCAAATCACCTGCAACTTATGAATGAAGCCCCCCAAATACCCCATTCTTGCCTGTCCTGCTCATCCTGGAATCATCCCTCCCACAGCTGGTCTTCCTCTTTCGCCTTTGACTTCCCATCGCATCTCTTCTCCAGGGAACCGGAGCCAGCGTGGCGTAGTGGTTAAGCATGCAGGTCGGGGACTCAGGAGATCTCGGATCTTCTCCCGCTTCAGCCGCTGAGCTCACGGGGTGACTTTGGGCCAGCCGCAGACTCTCGGCCCATTCTGCCTAGCAGGGTTGCTATTGTGGTGCTAAGACTGAGAGGAGAGGGAGGAGAATCGCATAGGAGAATTTCCTTCCCCTTGTAAGGAAAAAAAGGAGGAATACTAATGTACAGATAAGTAAATAAAGTACCGAAAGTACAGCAGCCTCAGTTTTGCCACGTTTGCTTCTGGCCTGACTGGATCTAAGCGGAAGCCAAGGAAGCGGCTGTGTGTCCCCTGCCCTGCCCTGCCCTGCCAGTCACCCGCTCAGCCCCGTCCCTTGCCTTCCTAGAGCGCTCTTCGACTACGACAAGACCAAGGACAGTGGCCTCCCCAGCCAGGGGCTGGATTTCCGCTTTGGCGATATCCTGCATGTCGTCAACGCCTCCGACGACGAGTGGTGGCAGGCACGGCGGGTGATGCCCGGCGGCGAAGGCGAGGTGGTGGGCGTCATCCCCAGCAAGCGCAGGTATGCCCGGCACGCGGTGCCACGGCGGGTGTGCTGGCCGTGCCCCTCTGCTCCCGCCTCTCCCCGAATCTCGAGCTCCCGCCAGTGCTCAGGGGGCTGCTGTGAGCACCCAGTGCCCGCAGAGCCGGACATCGAGGCTGGGCCTCAGTTCTGCTGCCTCTGTCCTTGGGGACGCAGAAACTCTGCATTTGGAATAACTCGTTGTGAAGGCCAGGCCAGCCCGGCCGTCATATTGAATGGCTCTGCAGTGGGCGTGTACTGTGCAGCCTTTACAAAAAATGCAAACCGTGCCTTTCGAGGGTGAGCAGGTGACTGATCACCCACCCGGACAGAAGCAGGTGAGGAGGGGGATGCCAGTCCCCGATCCCCTCCTGCTGTCCGAAGGAAAGGTCCTCGTCCGCAGCCTGGTTTCCACCAGGAAGAAACCCCCCATCAGTGGCACCAGACGCTTTGGTTCTGGTGCAAAGAACACCGGAGGAAAGGGTTAAATTCCCCCTCCCCACCAGCTTCAGTCCTGAGAATTAGCAGATGGAGGGAGGGAGGGAGGGAGGGGGAGAGAGCGCTGTTGAAAATGTTATCCAGCCCGTACCTCAGAATTAGCTTCCCCGGCTGGAGGCTGGGGGACAGTGGTGGTGCCAAATACGCACTTGGGGAAGAGGGCGAAGGCCAAGGGTGGAGCCTGCTGCTTGCATCACCTTCAGGCTGCCGGGCAAGTGAGTGCTCGGCGAAAATGCCACCTGCAGCACCCCCCCTCCGAGAGTGCCGAGCCCCCCGGGAACATCCGAAGAGCCCCGCTGGCCAGAGCCGGCACCCGCTGAGTCCCGACCGACCCGCTTGCGCAGGATCCCACACGCAGGGCGTGAGGGCAGCGGCCCCGCCCCACCCACCTGATCTGGAAGGAGCGTGGAGCCACACGGACCGATCGCCGTGGATAGCCTCGCCCCCCCTGCGTTCGTGCAGTCCCCTCTCGGAGCGCTCCAAACTGGTGGCCCACATGGCTTGCTTCAGCCGTGAAATGCACAGCTAGTTCCATGGCGGGGCGAAAGCGGGCTCCACCTGCACTTTTCCCACCACGCACATCGCTCTGTGCGCGCCTGCCCGCCCTGTCTCCCCCTCACTGGGCAAGCCGGTTTGCCAGCCCCTGCTCGCTTCCTGCCACAGCCGTTCGGCTCCTCATCCAAAGCGAGAAAATCTGCTGTAGGCAGCTCCTGCACGGCAAGGGGCGCTGCGTCCTCGGGGGCAGCAGTTGGCATTCTCCCACCATAGCAGGCAGCCTGTGGGGTGTTCTTTGGTGAGGCACGGGAAGCTCGGGCTCACCTGGGGTGATCAGTAACACGCCTTGTGTTGTTTCTTCCTTCCTCTTTTCTGACAGAGTGGAAAAGAAAGAACGAGCCCGTTTAAAGACCGTGAAATTTAATTCTAAAGCAAGAGGTGATAAAGGGGTGAGTCTGGACTCTTGGTGCCTCCTTGGCCTGCTGTCACTACCCATGCCGTAATGAGCGCCTCATTGATGCCACGTGTTCTGCCAGGATCCGGACCTGGGGTGGCTCAGATGGTGGGAGACCCTGAAAAACAGTCACTGTGGCAAAAGGCAAAACCTTTGGAAGGAAGGAAGGAAGGAAGGAAGGAAGGAAGGAAGGAAGGAAGGAAGGAATTACCAGGGAGGATACTAAAAACAAGACAGAATTCTAAATGTCACCATCTCCACCTGTCATGCAGCCACCGTTTAGAGAATGTCTACGGTTCTCTCAAAATGGCCAGTGCACAGAGGCAGAAAAGGATGCCTCAGATTTTTAAGCCCTGATGAGGCAGTCGGAGGACTTCCAGCGAGTCATTCCTACTTGTTGGCATAGAATCTTTGTGCTGCTGGTTAAGAGATGAGCAAGGATAGGAAAACAGAAACAAAGCGAGTCAGGAGCAGCCTCCCAGGCCGTCTCGTCTGACCCCCAGATCCAGCCAGCCCCACTCCTGCAAGCCCCAACACGTGGTTCTCTAATCTTTCCTTGAGCGCCCTCACTGTTGGGACCTCCACCACCCCCCTCGGGAGCCCATTTCCTACCCGAGAGCTCCTAACCGTCAGGAAGTATGTCCTGACATCCTGCCTGAAGCCCGGTGCCTTGAGCTTTGCCCCGCTGGAACACGTTCTGCCCTCCACTGCAGGGGAGAACAGCTCACGGCCCTCCTCCACTTGACGTCCCCTCCCATACCTAGAAGTCCCTAAGAGATCCCCTCGGAGTCTCCTCTCCTCCAGGCTGAAACGACCCGGCTCCCTCCGTGTCTCCTCATGTGTCATCCCTTCCAGCCCGGCTACCCTTCTTGTGCAGAGCCAATTCTAAGCTGGCTCTCCCTCTCCTATGATGTGGAGCCCAGAACTGGATGCAGGACTCCAGCTGTGGGCGCACCAGAGTCACATACAGCAGTATCAACTCCCTAGATCTGGAAGCCATGCTTCTGGCTATGCACCCAAGGGTGGTGTTTGCCCTCTTGACCGCCGTGTCACACCGCTGGCTCATTTTCAGCCTGCTGTGGCCAAGCAGCCCAAGGTCCCTTCCACAAGTGCTGCTCTGCAGCCACATGCCCCCCTTCCTGTACCTGTGACACCCATTCCTATGTCCCAGGTGCACTCCCAGGAATGTTCTGAGCCAGCTGACATTTGCCTGGTCTTCATGAGCTGCCCCAGCGAGAACCATTCAGGGTGAGGTGACTGTGGGTGGGTCTGATAGAGTCTTCTGCATTCCCACATGCTGCGTATGGGGCCCTTCTCCCTCTTCTATCATGAGAGAGCCCAGTGGGGTCACCCTGCGAGCTCAGCCGACAGAAGACAGCCCTCCATCACACGAAGCCGGATTGGCCCAAGAGGACTCGTGGCTGTAAGGAAAGGTGATGACTGAGTGGCTCTGAAAGGCGGCTTGGACCAGGTGGAGGAGTTCGGCCAGTGGGCCAAGTCTGAGCAGTGCAGGGCACGCGCCTCCAGGGCACGTCTCGGCCGGCCCGGCCTCCTCCGTGGACGGCCTCTGCCCCGTGCGAAGGGCATGAGTGGGCTCGCCCGCGTCCCAGAGCAGGGAGAGTGAGCGGGGGCTGCCGGGCTCCCCGCTGGCACCGTGTCCTTTGCAGAGAGTTGAGTGGCGTGGGATGCTTGGGGCAGCTGGGACGTGGGCAGAGGGTTTCCCTGTGAGGGCAGGGAAAGCAGCGCGCCAGGCTGGGGGCGGGAGGGTGGGGGCGGAATGCTGCAGCGCTCCTGCTTTCTTTGCAGGAGGCCTGGGCTGGAAAGCGGGAAGGGAGCTTGCCCTCTTGCCCGAGTCCCACCGCTCCCTGCAGCCGAGTCTCTCTTGCTTGAGAGTCGCAGCTTTGAAAGATTGCTTCTCCTCCTGCAAATCGCACAGTTCCCAGGCCTGCTGTGCCGCCGCCCCGGGCATGGCTGCTGCCATGGTTGTCGCATGGGGGCACTTGGACCGTGCGCTTGCAACTAGTGTACGAAATTGGGATGTGCTCCTCCCAGGATTAGACTTTCTTCCAGGTCTAATTCTAAAGGTCTTTCTTCCTTGCAGGATTACCTCCCAGAGTTATGCAAATGCCACTGCCGGGGCAGAGGTGAAGGGAGATGTTCCTGATCAGGAGGGCACGGGCAGGAGGCCGGTCTTGTGGCTGAGGAGCAGCCGTGCCCTGCCAAGGGCCCGTGCTGCTGCTCGCCAGAAGCTCGCCCTCAGGCAGGCCCATGGGGGGACCAGTGGGTGCTGCCTGGCCATTGCCCAGCAGGACACTGCGACTGCGTGGCTCTAGCCGAACTCCATGCTGCCCGCCTTTGGAAAGAGCACACCGCTGGGGAGGCAGTGCTGGCCACTCTGGGCTACTTTGCCCAACGAATGCGGCCTGTCTGCGCTGCGGTTTGGTAGCCGGCATTAGTGAAAACACGAGTGAGTAAGAACAGGTGGATTCGCAACAGACCTGGGCGGCCCCCGGTCCAGATCGGCACACTGGCATCGCGCTCTTGATGTCCTTAAAATGAGGTGGCCTTTCAGCTGCCTTCTCTCTTTCACGTGACTTGTGGCAAGCGGCTTTCATTCCCCATGTGATGTATGCCCCGAAAACATGCCGTAAAGAAGACCTGTTGGGACAGCGATGAAATTATGTGAAAGGCTTAATCACAAGTAGAGTGTGGCTGTTGCTGCGATTCTGTCGGTGGGAAGGAAAGTCGCAGAATGTACTTTGGGCAGGATCCAACTTGATCTCATTTCCTTTTGTCTTTAAAACAACCGTAACTTTTAGCCCTCATTGCTGCAAGGATTTGGTTGAGATGCCTGGGGCAACCTCGGGGCAGGAGGTGCTGAAAGGTGCAGGGTGTTGGTACCACACGTAACTCCTTGTGCCTCCCTAGAGCTAGAAGGAGCAGAATCCTCCAAGTCCAAAGCACAATGCGTGTCCCTCACTCGAACCAAAGAAGGTCGCTGTTTATGCTTGATTTAGGGCGCTGTGCAGACACAGCCCGCACCCCTGAACTTTACAAATCTGGCCTCATGGAAGTATGTGGACTGTGGCCAAGTGTGCACGTGGCTCCCGTGTCCCTAACACTGCATGAGACCCATGAGACCCGACTACGCTTGCCATTGAGAGAGGACTGCCTGCTTTCTTTTCTTGGTCTTGCCTGCTTGTAGCACTGCATCTTGCGGAGGCGCACGGCCTTCCTCTGGTAGTCTCTTCTCTTGCTCTTCTTCCTGGCCCTGGAAGCTCTGTGTGCTCACCGGTGGCAGTGGCCACAGGGCAAGCGGCCCGGTGACCATGGCCTGCTCCTCCATTAATCGTCGCACCTAGCAAGGTGCAGAAATGGGAGCAGCTTCCACATGTGTGCTGGCTCACAGCCATTCCTGACCTGGCGCCAGCCCTGCTTGTCCCTCCTGCAAACCGGCCTTTGTCTCCTCGAGCACCTGGCACCAAAGGCGCATGTCCAGCAGTCACTGTCCCGCCTTTTCTGCTTCCCTTTCTAACCTCTTCTAACTAATGAGAGGGCTCTGAGAAAAGGCTGGGAGAGCTTTCACAGCCCGCAATTACAACTAAAAACAGAGCCTTAAAAAGACATGGCTGCTCTGCTGGCCATGTTTGACTTTCTGCTACTGGAGCCGACTTCTAACTGTTCCCCATGTAGTCAGTGAGAGAAGCGCTCTCTGGAAGACCAGTGCTTCCTCGGAGACGGGGCGCTTGGGTGGCGGTCGCCCCAGCCGGGAGGCGGAGAGCCCGTTTCTCCTCGTGATCGACTGAGGCTGCCCCGGGCCTTGCCCCGGAGAAGCGGCTCTCCTTGGCGTTTCTCCCTGACTCTGCCGTCCAGCCGTGCCCGAGCCGTCTAGGCTGCACCGTGTGGAACTTGGGGAGATGGAGGCTGAGCAGGCCTCCCATCGGACCTGTCTTCCCCTTGAGCATTTTGTTCTGCCGTAGTTGCTGGCAGGTGAGGAGGGAGGTTGCCAAGACACACCTTGAGGCTGAGCACCTCCTCCTCAGGGGAGCCGGGGTGTGGCTTCCGTGGCCAGATCCCCCAGATGGCCCATGCCGTCAGCTTGCAGTGGCCATGCCCGTCCCCCAGCCGGGTCGGTTCCGAACAGCCTGTTCCCACAGCAGCCCCCGGGGCTCCCCTCCCTCTGGAGCCTCCCATGGGGAGGTGTGGGCGGCGTCTTCCAAGTGCCCCCCAGCCCCGTCACCCTTTGAGAGGGTTGCGAAGCAAGGCTGCTGGGCCAGAGATAGCGGCTTGCCTCTGCAGACAGCCTGTCCTTGTGTCCCCCTCCTTCTGCCGAAGGCACCAGGTTCCCTGAGGGCAGGCCCCTTCCCTGCCTGTGAAGCGCTCTTGGCAAGGCTCGCCTTGCAGCAGGGCAGGGCGGCTGCTCCCTGCTTCTCCCATGTGGAGGAGGAGGAGGAGGAGGTAGTGGCTGCGCACCGTGCAGAGCTCGCACGCTGCGAAAGCCCCGTGCGGACTAGGGCTGGACCGGGCCCTCCTCCCCGCGGCCTTCCTTGGACAGGGCCCGGCCCCGGCCCCGGCCCCCCACACCTGCTGCCTCGACACCGCTGTGCCGAGGAGCGAGCGAGCGAGCGAGCGAGCAGGGGCTCTTCCGCCGAGCTGCATGGCGAAGTGCTAGAAGTCGGCCTCCACTCCCCGCTGCTGGGGCTGGGCCTTGGTGGCGCACGGGACATCCCACATGGTTTGTTTTGCCCCCTCCTTTTCTTCTTCAGCAGTCATTCAATGACAAGCGTAAAAAGAACCTCTTTTCCCGAAAATTTCCCTTCTACAAGAACAAGGACCAGAGTGAGCAGGAGACCAGTGATATTGACCGTAAGTATGGGGGTGGGGAGGGGGCAGCGGGACAGGTGCGGAGTGCGAGTCAGTGGGCCTGCCCAGGTCGCCGTGCGGGGTTGCCTTGAAGGGGCTTCCAAGAGCTGCCGCAGGGGCTGGAGGGCCGGGCCGGGCCGGGCCACGCTGCGCCAGCCCAGCCGGCCCCCCTCCGCAGCCGATCCCATGGGACTGCCCCTGGGGGCCCCCTCGCTCTCCCGCCGAGAGGCTGCGGAGGGGGGCCGCTGGGCTGCGCGAAGCTCCTCCCACCCCGGGCCCGTTGCTGCCTCGGGGTGGCCGCCCCTTTTCCAGTGGCTGTGGCCGAGCCTTGCTTGGGCGAGCCCCGCGGTCCCCCTGCAGATGCTCTTGGAACCGCCTGGTGGGAGCACCCTCCGATACCCTACTGACGGTTATTTTCTTTGTGATTGTCTCTCTCTTGCTTGCCCTGTGGGAACTGCTCTGCAGGAGATCCCTGAAGACATGGGATCAAAAGGCCTGAGTAAGTGACCCTCCTGCCACCCCTCCCCCGAGCCGCTCGCCCGCACGTTGTCGAGACCTTGCTGGGCCTGTGGCTGGCAAAGGGGCTTCCTCCGTGAGGCGCCCCCGCTGCTTCCTCCCTGCGGTCGCTTCCCCTTCAGTAGTTTGCTGCCTTCTCCAGCCTCACGGCCGCGCCCGTCCAGTCGGACTCTCTGGAGTCTTTCCAGACCCCCTGTTTTGCAGGCATTTGTGTCTTTTCCCTTCTGCTTGGGCCGTGCTCATGTTTTTCTGAGCCCATTCAGTGAGGGAAGGAGGTTCCTCACAAGACACAAACAGGGAATTTACATGTATCTTAAAGACTTTGGGCAGCTCTCAGTTTAACACTCGTAAAGACAACCGTAAAATCAGGAGAGCAGCAACAACACCCGTGTCAATTTTAAGTGAAAAAATGGAGACTCCGGGCCAAGCCATTTGGAGGTTTCTGATCTCCTCACTCTCTGCTGCCATGAATTGTACTGGGCAGCCCAGCCTTTCCCCAGCCCCCATGCTCTGTCTCCTTTTGTCCGTCCGTCCGTCCGTCCTTCCCTTTCCCCCATTTTTCTTGCACAGCTCGGGTCAGGCTTACCTGAGAACTAGCTTATCAGTCAGATTCAGTAAGCAAGGTTATTCTTCCTGGTCCCTGCATACACCTGTGGGCTCTCCGCGCATGCGCGGAGCTGTTTCAGGAGGATTCCAAAGCTGAGCAATTACCACTTGGCGGCAGTCCAGCCCAGAGACCCATCTCAGGAGGGCGGGACCCACTGAAGGGCGGGAACGCGGTAAATGAAACATTCAGACATCCCTCCCACTTCTGGCCGCCTGTGCACTGAAGACGCAGTGCCTGCACAAGATGCGAGCCTCACTTCTGCCCCACCACTGAGGCCGGCACAGGAACCTCAGCCACCCTGAGGCACTTAGGCTGCAGAGGCGGAATCCGCAACCCATCGCTGACTGATGCCACGGCCAGACCCAGTCTCCCCACAGAGACGCACCTCCCCACATCTCCTGCTCTAAGCTCTTCTTCTCGCTGCCGCTCCCAGTCCCTGGTTTCTAACAAGGACCGTAGAACCCACTGAACACCTCTCCCCTGTCGCAGGGAATCAGTGCGGAGTACTAGAGAGAGCTCTGCGCTCAGTTGACTCCAGATGTGGAGCCGGAAGCGATGGCCACTCCTATGCCAGGCCCAGTTTCACAGTGCCGCTCTTCCTAGGTGTGCTAGACGAACAGCAACTCAATGTGATGCTCCATCCTCATTCTAACTTGCCTAACCATTGCTCTGACTTACTTCAGCATACTCACTCCGTACGTGGACCCTAGACTTCCATCTCGGCTTCACCCTCTCCTGACCGATGTTCCAACGTACCTCCTGATGCACCGGTATCTATTTCTTTCACACTCCGGAAGGCTCTGGTCTGTTTTCTGCTCAAGTCCTCTGTGTGGCACAGAGCCTCGGACTCAACCCTAGGCAAGAGCCCAGCAGGCAAAGGATTCAGTCTTTGTGGTGGTCTATGCCAAACAACACGACCTGTCACCATTCCATTCTTGCCCACTCTCCTTGATGCAGTGTGCCACGAGTGGAAATTGCCAGCGTCAGTAGCTCCTCCACCTCATCAACTTGAAAATGCGTATCAAGCTCAAGAGAAAGGTGCTGAATTTCTGTTCCAACATCCTCAACCCAATTCCATTATTGTCGAGTCCCCTCAGGGCCAGTCTAGAAGGAACATTCCACCCGAACTGACAAGGCAGATGCCTTGACACGGTTGGTCACCGCTTCTACTCTTCTGCAGCCTTTCTGTTAAAATGGCAAACTATCAGGCACCATGGCCAGATACCATCTGATGCTGTGGGACAGAGTAGCATCCTCTACTCATCTCTCCCTAAAGATGCCCAAGATTTGGCCAACAAGGTTAGAAAGGAGGCAGCTCGGCTGACTAGACAGGAAGTCTACACCACATGACACCAGGCAGCATGCAGTGCCCGAAACATGGCAGGGGTGATGGATCTTCATAGCTTTGCCTGGCTTTGATCTTCAGGCCTCTCTGTGGCAGCCAAGGCAAGAATTGAGGATATGCTATTCGATGAGGCAGGCCTGTTGCATGAAGCCACCAGCAATTGCATGGACTCTGTCCAAAAGGCAAGAAATACCACCCATCATATGGGACTTAATCAGACTCCCACCTCTGAGATCTTGCGCCTCCTGTAAGTGGCACAGACCTCCCTGTCCACACCGGTCTCACTGCCCCTGCCGCCGCTACGCAGCACCACTGTGCCACGTGAAGGAGATGCCGTGCTCCCTTGCCTTGAATGCACCAGGTCGGAGAAGTCCAGATGAATCGAGGAGGCACCTGGGACACCTTTGTAACCCTGTCCACTCTTCTTCCCCACATTTCACCCATCGCATTCAACCCTTTTTCCATTCTTGGGCTACCATCACCTTGGATTCGTGGATACTTTCCATAATTCTCCAGAGATACCATATTGAGTTTGAAGCCCTCCCACACTTTACTACCGTGAAAAGGACTATCCTCTCCATACCCCTTCTTGAGGAACTGTCTTCCCTTTTTCAGAAGGGAGCTATGGCACGTGCATCACTCAGAACACCTGGCTTTTACTCAGGTGCTTCACGGTCCCGAAATAAGATGGAAGCCTTTGTCCAATTTTCAATCTCAGGACCATCAATCACCACACGAAGCCTAAACATTTCAGGATGGTGTCTCTCAAGTCCATTAGTTTGGTTCATGTATGTTGACCTTAAGAACGCTTATTTTCATATTTCCACCTGGAATTCTCACAGGCATTTCCTTCACTTTCACCTGAATGAACCCCTCCAATTCACTGTCCTCCCCTCGCAACTGCTCCTTGTGTATCCACAAAATGTATGGCCGCTGTTTGTGCCCACCTGTGTCTCATTGGGGTCCATGTACATCTAGACAACTGGCTGATAGTAACTCCATCTAGAGAAGCCTCTTTACAAGCCACCACTTTCACATGCTCTCTACTTCACTAACTCGGTCTTCACATTAGTACGACGAAATCTTGTCTTTCTCCTACACAGTCGAACCACTTCCTTGGAGTGCAATTCAATTCCATCTCCACAAAGGCTTTTCTCTCCCAGGACAGTCTATCCACTCTCACCAGAGGAGAGGCGAACCCCCCTATCGACACTCATTACACAACTGCCATGGCGATCCAGGGCATCCCTGGTTAACACCCTCATCAATTCCAATTGTCTTTCTGGCTTGGCTACATATGAGACCTCTCCAGTTCTGGTTTCTAACATTGTTCAATACCAGGACTGAACCTCACTCTACCAGTCTGTGCATTCCTCATCGAATTCACACCTCTCTCCATTGGTGGACAGACAAGACCAATACCTCTATCAGGGTCCCCTTCTCCTCACAGGAACCGCATCTCACCATAGCCACAGACACCTCCCTTCTCAGTTGGGGGTCACACTGCAGTCATTCTTTGATCCAAGCCAGATGGAGGCCTCACATCACAGCAACTTTTTGGAACTTCTGGCTTTCGAGCCATCATCTGGTACCATCACAGACAGATCATTGTGGACAACACCGCAGTGGTTGCTGATATAAACAAACAAGGTGGAACCATATCACGCCTCCTTGCCACCAAGATCTGGCATCGGTGTACCACTCAGCATGGTGCTCTGGTTGCAGTCCACGTTGTAGACACCAACAATGTCTTAGTGGACTCCTCAAGCAGAATTTTCACTCGAACGCCACCCTAACGCGAAGCAATCCTTGTGGGACCGAAGGGGTGTCACTCAGGTAGACTCGCTGTACTGCATAACACATTTTGCTCTGAAGTGGGTGTAGGCATCCGATTGATGAGGGAGGCCTTCCTCCTATTTGGAACCTATTCTCCCTCTTCCCTCTGTTTTCTCTACTTCCAAAAGTCCCCCCAGAGATCTCTTGAGGTCACATGGACTCCATCCTGGTGGCCCAGGCAACACTGGCTGCCCCATCTGCTCGACCTCGCCAACAAGACCTTCATTCACCTTCCGATCCTTCCCAATCTCCCTCCACACTGAGGAACAGTTCTCCATCCTGAAGTGAACACCCTCAAACTCACCACATGGAGAATCGGTGAAAGCACTGCTCTTCAGAACCCTTCCAGCCCTCCAGTGGAACTAGCCCTCCATTCTTGAGATGTCTGTAGCACATGAGCTTTCCATAAATCCAGAATTCGGTCTATCCAACAGTCACAAAGACTCTTTATTGCATATGGTGGCCCACACAAGGGAGCTCCTATCTCCTCCCAAAGACTCTAAATGGATAGTTCATACTATGAACTCTCTGGTCCCATTAGAGCGCATCCTACCAGGGCAACTGCTACCTCCACAACCATGGACGCAGGAGTATCTCTCACCGACCTCTGTAGCGTGGCAGCATGGTCAAATCCCTCGACCTTCAGCCACCATTATCGTCTCGCTGTTCGGGCCTTCGGAACAGCTGTCCTAAGCTTGCCAGTCGCCCACGTGTGTGATGCACAGAGATCACAAAGAATGAGGGCAGGTTGTCCTACCTGTGACGGTCATTCTTGGAGTGGCCACCTGTGCATTCACACACATCCACCCCCCATCTCCTTGGGCATCGTATACCTCTATTTTTGACACAGTGTCTTTCAATGACAGTCTCACCACTGAGATCTTGATGGGAGCCCCCCCCCCCAGAGGGTATTTATGGGCCAGACTCCCGCCCAATAACAATTAATTGGCTTTGGAACCTCCCCGAAACAGCTGCACACACACGCACAGAGCCCACGTGGATGGACGCAGACGACCCCCTGAAGAACGGCCGTCCCAGGTAAGCTGGCCTGCCTTTTCCCGTTGAGTAGAAGCAGGTTTCTGTGTGGCGCCTGCATTATGGTAGACCGGGATTGTTGCCTCTTCAACGGGCCAGCTCCAGAACGGTTCCTGCGCCCCTCAAATGCCCTGGCCGTGGGGTCCGGCGCAGCCCTCCTGGCACCCTGCTCCATTGCAAAGGAGGGTCCTGCTCCCTCTCCCGCACAGAGCAGCCCTCTCTCCTGGCTGGGCAAAGCCGTGGAAAGCTGGCCGGGTCAAGAACAGGGCAGCTGCCTGAGGTCTCGCTCCTTGTGACACAGGGCTGTGCTGTTGGCACTGGCTGGCAGCAGTGGCAGCCGTTCGGGGTGTCCAGCAGGGCCAGGCCTAGCCCTGCTGGAGATGCTGAACTTGGAGCTGTCTCCGCGGGGGCCGAGCAGGAGCGGCTGTGACCGAGGGCCCCCTCTGCTTAGCTCTGTAGGTGCTGGGGACTTTCCTGCCCTGCAGGCTGCCGTTCTGGCTGCCCCCTGGCAGTGCCCTTCATCTCCCACTTTGCCGGCATGTTTGGTGGCAGCAACCAGGTGGTCCCTGCCGCAGCTTCGTGCCAGCCGGGTGGCTGGCCAGCAAGAGGCGCTGCTTGCCTTGAGCTACAGCCGGCTGTGGGTGCCCCCCCTCACTGAGCACCAGGCTGAGTGCTGGAGGCTTCCCTCGGGGTGGCAGGGCACTGGGCCTTGGCCAGCCCCCCAGCTGCACTCGCTCTTCTTCTCCCTTGCCATTTCTGCTCAATAATAAGGGTGGACCCTGAACTGCTTTGTCCGCAGGGTGTTTGCGGCCTTCTTGGGCCTGCCTTTTTTGTAGAGCTGGGTGCAGAACCTCGGGCCAGGGGCCTGATCGAGTCCTCTTGGCCCCCCCCCCGGTCCCCCTCCCCAACATGGTTTGGTGGCTTCCCGGAATTTACAGAGTTCCCTCATTTTGAAAAGCTGCCGTGCCCCCCCAGGGGCTCTGTGTCCAGCAGCAGGAGGCGTGTGCTGCTCTGAGGACTGGTCTCTTCAGCGGCACCCGTCCCCCCCACCCACCGCTGTGCGAAGAGGCCCTCCAGAGCATGTCCCGAGTGGTCTTCGGGCCCTGGCCCGAAAGGGGTTCTGCTCCCGGCTCCCGCCAGGTGCTGCAGCCACTCCCTCATTGCTGCTGTCTGTTGCCTTTCCAGAGCACGTGACCTCCAACGCCAGCGACAGTGAGAGCAGCTGCCGTGAGTCCCTGCCGCGTGTTGTCTTGGGCATTGTTGCTGGAGGGGGGGGATCTCTCCCCATGGGTGAAGCGGCACTGCATGTTCAGGGGCCAGCAAGTGCATATCTTGGGCAGCAATGGATTCACAGGCTCCAGCGAGCTGTGGGGCTTCAGGCATCGGAGATGCTGGTGGGGCTTGGTCTTGATGCTGTTTGCACCCCTCTTTGGTGGTGCAGGTGCTGGGGGCCCAGCAGCAGAGGTGCCCTGCCCTGCCCTGCCCTCCCCTCTCAGCCTCTCAGGGAGGGTCCCAGGTGGGTGTTCTCTCCTTGGAGTGCTGCACCGCTGGCCCTGCCTCTGCCCTCCAGTGGCCCTCGCTGATTTCTGCCTTCTAGGGTCCTTGACCCTTCTGCATCATGAATTTTCCATCCTTTTAGTTCTCACCTGACACCTTTGCCGTTTCTTTGTGTGTCTTTCCTGGGTCTTGAATGATGCAGTTCTTCGTCGTGGCCTCTGTGCATCGCATATATGGGTGCTGTGCCTGCGCAGTGCCTATGGCCAGAAAGATTCAAAAGCTTAACGGTTTTGGTGGGAACTCCACCCCCCCATGGTATAAAAGGGTGGAGTGCCCGCCATTTCCTCAGTCTTCTTGCGGCCACCGTTCGCTGTGCCTCGAGCCTTTTCGTCTCTCAGTCTGTACACGTTTATCCAGTTGCTATTATCTCTTTTAGTCATTACTATTTCAAGTTTTTCCCTCCCTGTTAGAAGTTTTTCTTCTCAATTTCCCCTTTTCCTTGTTAAAAAAAAAAAAAAAAACAGACAGACCAAAAAAACATTTTTTCTCTTTCTCTTTGCTTTGCTATCTTATTTTTCTACCTCGATGGCGCAGTGTGCGGCTTTCCGCAAGTGTTCTCAGTGTGGGTTCAAAATGTCACCTACTGATCCACACGACCGGTGCCTTCTCTGTCTTGGAGAAGGGCACAGAACTGATAAATGCAGCCATTGTCAGGCCTTTACGAAGCAGGTGAGGAAAACTCAGGAGAACCGCCTGCGCAGACTTTTGTGGGACCAAGCCCTACTCCAGTCAGACCAACTGGCGGGCAAATCTGCTCCTCCATCCACCTCTTCCACCACGCCTCCGTCCCACCCGTCGGCTGATGTTGCCCCCTCGCCGGAGGGTCAACGCTCCTCTGTATCTCTAGATAAGCAAAAGGAGAAGAGGAAGCATACTGGTTCGGACAGGTCCTCAGGCCATAAGAAGCCTAAGAAGGACAAGGTGGACAAGTTGGCTCGCAAGCTCAAGAAGCCCAACCATCCCAGGCACCGTGACTCGGGTTCTTCCGCCCTGTCAGTCCCAACAGCTGTCCCGGGTCTGACACTGACCGGACCGGCCCTCCAGTTGGCCATGCAAGTGACTCCTCCTGGGTCTCCAAGACGGGCTGCACCTTCCGTCCAGTCCTCTCCCGAACACCGGGACGTTCCCTTGTTGGGATCGATTTCCAACGGAGAGATTCGAGACTCTCCTCCAATGGCTCATTCACTGACTCCCCAACCATCACATGAGCCTTCCCTGATGGCTGCTCCTCAGCAGGCACGATATCAACAGCGTGCCTCTGTCCGGCTCTCGGAAGAATGGGTGCAACCGCCCCACAGGCTGTCTAGTCGCGAGCCATGGGATGATTATCCACCTTACGGTTACTACCCGTCGGTGCGCGATCGTTCCTTCTCTCTGGTACCAAGAGATGCCCCTTCGACTCGGAGGACTCTAAAGTGGCATCTGCTTCACCAGACGCGGTGATTTCTACACAGGGTCCCAGCTCACTGGAGGAACCCTGTGTAACCTTTGGAGAACTGATGGCGAGGCTTACGAGGTCACTTGATATCTACAACATTGCCAAGGGTGAACAGTCTGCTGCCATCATTTTGCCGCTGATTACCACTCTTCACCAGGCAATGTTGGAACCATAGAACTACCCTAATCAGCCTCAACCCACTTCACTGCGATATGAGTCCATGTATCGAGTCCGTGAGCAAGATATTCCATTCCTCCTGCATCACCCAAGACCGAACTTGATCGTCGTTGAGTCTTCTCAAGGACGTGAGTCCAGGGGACACACTACTCCCTGCGACAAAGAGGGCCGTAAGATCGACATGTTGGCTCGCCAGATCTATGCTGCTGCTGGACTTGGCCTCCGTATTTCTAATTATGAGGCCACGCTGGCTCGATACCAATGTTTTCTAATGCAAAAGTTAGAAAATATCACGGCCTCACTTCCAGATCAACAAAAAGACCTGGCTAGGATCTTTATTAAAGAGGCTATGCAGGTGGCAGTCCAGCAGCTTTCCACGGCAAGACACCACGTCAGCTCTGACTCTAGAGCTCCTGTTGGCGCTGTAGCCCTCCATCGCCATGCCTGGCTCCGGAATTGCAACTTCCCGGACGAGACGAAACGCCGGATTGAAGAAATGCCCTTGGATGGTTCAGGGCTCTTCAGTGCTCGGATGGACCACAAGATGAAGACAATCCATGAGTCGAGGGTTACAGCTCGCCGGATGGAAGTTCCTAATCAGTCGTGCCGTAAGTGGTCTTGGTCTCGTCCATCTTATAGATACCAGCCCTACTCGCTATTTGTGGACCGTCAGCAATTCCAGCCCCGCCAACAGCGTCGGAAGCAACAACAACAACGCTTCCAACAGAAATGGCATTGTTCTGACTCCGACAACATCAGCGTTGACGGGACGAGCAAACCTCTCCTCTCCTCCTCAGCCCACCTTCTCCTCTTCCTTTTGGGGATCGACTGCAAAGTCGACTCCCCATTTGGGAGTCCATCCCATCTGATCAGTGGGTTTTATCCATCATACAGCACGGATACAGAATTGAGTTCGATAGCATGCCCCCACTGGGACCAGTCCCGATTTACGCCTCAGTCATCAGTTCTCTACAGCTTCTTTGTAAAGGAGTGATTCGACAGCTTGCATGCTCTGAGGGGCTCCACGGCTTCTACTCAAGGTAGTTCATGGTCCCTAAGCGTGATGGTGGTCTTCATCCGATTCTGGACTTACATGGCATCACTAGGTTTATCAAAACCCAAAAAGTTTTGGATGACCACTCTTCAAAATATCCTTCCATTGCTTAGGGGGAGAGGATTGGTTCGCTTCTCTGGACTTGAAAGATGCCTATTTTCACATTACCATTCACCCGTCCCACAAGCACCTTCTTTGATTCACCGTTGGTTCCGACCTGTTTGTGTTTAATGTCCTTCCGTTTGGACTGGCTACTGCCCCCCGGGTTTTTACGAAGTGCATGGCCCCGGTGTGTGCGCATCTTCGGCTCCAAGGCATTCAAGTGTACCCGTATCTGGATGACTGGCTAATTGTCTCCCAATCTAAGGAAGGCCTTCGGTCATCAATTCAAACTATTTGTGCTCACTTGGACAATTTGGGACTATGCATTAATCAGGAGAAATCATGTCTTACTCCTTCGCAGGTCATCGACTTCATTGTAGCCCGTCTCAATTCCACGCTGACGAGAGCCTTCCTTTCACAAAATTGACAGGACAATCTGTGTTCATCGATCCGTCGAATCCACATGGACAGAGCTGTTCCGGCACTCTCAGTGCAGAAACTTCTCGGCCATATGGCCTCTACAGTATCCACTGTTCCCCATGCCAGGCTATGGATGAGACCACTCCAGTTGTGGTTCAACAGACTGTTCCAACCTCAACAAGACTCGCCTCACCATCTTCTCCGCCTTCTGACCTCTGTCCTCCAGACTCTATCTTGGTGGACTACGCGGCACAATCTGTCCATGGGTGTCCCAATTTGTCTGCCTCACCTGACCTTGACTCTGTTTACCGATGCCTCCCTTACCGGGTGGGGAGCTCTATGTACGGTCTCTGTACACGGGGCACCTTGGACTGTCAGGAGGCCACCAGACATATCAATTACCTCAAACTCCTGGCGGTCTTCAAAGCCCTTCGATCGTTCGAGGACTCTCTTCGGTGACACATTGTCCAGATTGCCTCCGACAACATTATTGCTGTATTCTATATAAACAAACAGGGCAGGACAAAGTCTGCCCCCTTGGCCTGCCTGGCGATGCAACTGTGGGACTGGTGCATCCCCAGAGAGATCACCCTCCTTGCGGTTCACCTGGCCGGCACCGACAAGGAGGCCAATGCCCTCAGAAGGCAGACGGATCGTTCGACTTGCCATCACCTCTTCTGGACTTGGGGCTCTCCGGACATAGACTTGTTCACCACTCACACGAACAAGGTGTGCGAGGCGTTCTGTTTTCGTGCCGGCATCGGCCCGGGATTGACGGAGGACGTGCTCATGATCCCTTGAACGAACACGTTCTTTTAAGCATTTCCCCCGATCCCGCTCATAACGAGGGCCCTAGCCAAGATCGCCTGTGACGGTGCCACGGGGATCCTGACCACCCCCTGGTGGCCCCGTCAACCATGGTTCCCTACTCTTCTCCGCCTATCCGGCAGCACTTTTCTCCACCTGCCTCTCATACCTCATCTGGTAACTCAGCAGTGCAGAGCTGTTCGCCACCCGGATCTTCCTTCGCTCAACCTGACAGCCTGGCTCATTCCATGATCCACGGTGACCCTTCGGTACCGGCGGATCCCGGGACTCCTATACTTGCTTGACATTGTCCCGATACAGCCTCTCCTTCCCCGCTACCGATAGACTCCTCGTCGAACCTGAGCGCTCTCCAACCCGATATCCTGTTCATTCTTCAGTCTGCCCTAAGACCTGCAGTTCGCCAGTCTTATGCGGCCAAATGGAAGCGCTTCGCATCCTTTGCTGAATCCAATGATTTTGTTGTTTCTTCGGCCTCTGTTGAGAATGTCCTTCAATTTCTCTTATTGCTCCATCAATCGGGACTTAAGCCACCTTCCATTAAGGTTTATACAGCTGCAGTCTCCCACTACCATGGACAGGTGCAGGGTTCTTCAGTTTTTTCTCATACCCTCATACGTCAATTCCTCAAGGGTCTACAGAACCTTCAGCCACCACTTCAACCAGTTATGCATACTTGTAGCCTCTCAGTCATCCTCCAGGCACTCACTCGAGCGCCTTTCGAGCCCTTGGCAACTACTGACTTACATGTCCTGTCTTGGAAGACTGCTTTTCTCGTCGCGGTCACGTCTGCCAGAAGGGCTAGTGGACTCTGTGCACTTCGGATAGATCCTCCTTACCTTAACCCTCATAAGGAGAAAGTCGTTCTCTGCACTGATCCAGTGTTCTTACCTAAAGGCGTGTCTCCCTTTCATATTAACCAGGACATTGTGTTGCCTGCCTTTTTCCCCATGCCAGCTACACCAACAGAACAGTCGTTGCATGCTCTCGACGTCCGTCGCTGCCTTGTCTTTTACAGGTCTCGCACGGAGTCCTTTCTTAAATCTAGCTGCCTCTGACCATGATAAGGGGCTCTCCTGTCGGTTCGCAGAGACTTTCAAAGTGGATCGTGCAGACCATCGAGCTAGCGCATCAGCTCGCCAGTCTTGACTTACCTGTCACGCCCAGAGGGCACTCCACGAGGGCAGTAGCTGCTTCCTCTGCTTTTGCTGCTGGCATTCCGATCCAGGACATTGGCAAGGCTGCCACTTGGGCTACTTCTTGCACTTTTGCCAGGCATTACCGCCTTGATGTGCGTGCCAGACACGACTGCTCCTTTGGCCGGACAATCCTATCTTCTGTTCTTAAATGATGACACCGCCCACCTCCGGGTCTGGAAGCTTGTTAATCATATGTGTGGTGCACAGAGGCCACGATGAAGAAAAGCAGGTTGCTCACCTGTAACTGTCGTTCTTTGAGTGGCCACCTGTGCATTCACACAACCCACCCGCTGGCCCCGCTCGGTGTTGGTGAATGGGTTTGTTCGGCACCGTTTCTCCTCAATAACGGTTTCATTAAAAACGTTTCTCTCGGGTTCGGCAGTTTCCTGCAATATCTCTTGCTCCCGCATGGGGGCGAACAATCAGTTGCCAGTAGACTGGGGAAATGGTGGGCACTACGCCCTTTTATACTGTGGGGGGGCGGTGTGTGGAGTCCCCGCCAAAACCGTTAAGCTTTTCAATCTTTCCGGCCACAGGCACTGCGCAGGCGCAGCACCCATATGTGTGATGCACAGATGGCCACTCAAAGAACGACAGTTACAGGTGAGCAACCTGACTTTCCTTCCAGAACTCTGGAAACGCTTTGCACTTTCCTCGGCTAGCGGAGCCACACAAGCGACTGACTGGTGTGGGAGCCATTTATCCCTTAACCTCCAGGTGGCCTGTTTGGTTCTGCAGCAGCTTTCCAAGATTCCGGGGCCGGGAGTGGCATAGGCCTTTCCCAGCCCGGCCACCTCGGGCCATTGGGATCCTGCCTGAGGCCTGGTGGCCCTTTCGGCTTGGTGGCCCTTTAGCGTCTTTCACTTACTAGTCTGTTTCTGACCCCGGTCTCTACCAGTGCCTCGTGTACCGGCTTCCTAATTGAGCCACAGAATCCTAGGTTGGAAGGGGTCCTGTGGCCATGGGTGCAGAAATCTGTTTAAAGCATGCCTGGCAAATGCCCCCCCCCCCCCCGTCTCTGTTGACACCCTCTGGCCTGAGACACTCCAGTAATCAAGTCATTAATGAAGATGAGTCAGGTTAGCACAGACACTGACCAATACAACAAACTGCCCACTAATTCTGAAGGGGAGAACTGGCAAGGGGCAGGCAGCGAAAAGTGGATGGTCTCTTACAGCTACTAAATGTGTGTATCTAAATTTCTAGGTGGTCAAGAAGAATATGTCTTGTCTTACGAGCCTGTCACCCAGCAAGAAGGTTTGCACAACTTTACATATTTATTTAATGCTTTTATATACTGACCTTCACTAAAAAGCCCCAGGGCGGTAGTACAATGAGAGAAAAGTACAGAAACATCTGGAATAGCACATAAGGAGCACACAGCCTTCCGTAGGCCGCAAAACCGTGGCTGAGAGCCCCTGTCCGGTGCAGAGAGCTCTGGCTGGCGTGTTGAAGCAAGTGCTAAGCATTCAGCAAGGCAATCTTGTATTTATTAAATTTCTACCCTGCTCGTTAGGCAGGATGGTTCTCTGGGCATCTCTCCCAGGTGTCTCAAAAGGAAGATGCCAGAGACTTGTGAGTGTGGATTGGTTCAGGGGCAGGTGCCACCAGCCTGCCACTCAGAGCGGGCGGGCCTCTCCTGGCGGCTTCCCACACCAGGTGGTGTCGACACTCCGCTAGTGTTGTGTGTTTAGGTATTTTCTTGCTTACTCTGGTTCTATTTTGCATAAACTTGTGATAGAATGCCTATCCGTGGGGCAGATTCAGTTCCAGGTCTGCTTAACAGGCTGGGGGCTTGGGGTGCAACATGGGTCCTCGGGAAGCAATCGGCAGCAGAGCGGCATGGTTGCCATCCACTGTGCTAGATTATGAGTGGGCAACTCCCCTTCAAGAGAGGCTGGATGCCACGGCCTTTCTCTAACCCAAAGCTGTTTGGTGCCTTCTTTTTCAGTCAGTTACACGCGGCCTGTGATCATCCTGGGGCCTATGAAGGACCGCATCAATGACGACCTGATCTCTGAATTTCCGGACAAGTTTGGATCCTGCGTCCCACGTATGTATGGCAAAGAGCTGCTGAGGAAAGTTAAGAACCTAGAAGCAGAGCAAGTCAGAAGGGGTCTCCCAGGCCATCTAGTCTGACCCCTGGCTCCAGCTGGCTCTGCTCACAACACGCCTACCATGTGCATGTCTAGTCTATCCTTGAACACCCGCACCGATGGGGCCTCAACCACCTCCCGTGGAAGCCCATTCCACCCCCTCGGGGTCCTGACTGTCAGAAAGCGCTTCCTGGCATCCAAATGGAACCTGGGTTCCCTGAGCTTGGCTCTGTTGGAGCACATCCTGCCTTCCTCTGCAGGGAAGAACAGGTCTCTCCCCACCTCCATGTGACATCCCCTCACATACCTGCATGTCGCCAACAGATCCCCTCTGAGTCTCCTCTTCTCCAGGCTGAAGAGACCCAGTTCCCTCAGTCTCGCCTCATACAGCTTCCCCTGCCAACCGGCCACCGACCTTGTGGCCCTACACTGCACTGACTCTAGCCTGGCTATATCCTTCCTGTAATGTGGGGCCCAAAACTGAACACAACTTGTTACTCCAGTTGTGGGCACACCAGAGTCGTATAGAGTGGTGGTAATACCTCTTTTGATCTAGTTGTGTTGCACAGATGGGGTGCAGAGCCTTCTGGCTTGAGGAAGAAGAGGCATTTCAAGGAGTGTTTCTAAGATCTAGCAAAGATATCAATCTGTATTATCCGAACTACTCTTCTTTAAGATCTTCTGAACTGTTTGGATAGTTCCTTCAGCCATTTCATTTGATCTTACATAAAATGCACTAAAAGTAACATGGTCGAAATCCCTTTTTCTCTCAAATGTTCTGAACTCCTTAGAATTAAATTGAGGACTATTATCAGTTAGTACAGCTTCAAGTATACTGCGTCTAGCAAATACAGATTTAATAGGCATAATCATACATTTGTTAGTTAAACTTTCTAACAACCATCCAAAATTTGTATTATTAAAAAAATACACCTTTCAGTGACATTCCAATAAATCCATTCCCAGTTTCTGCCATGGTCTTTCTGGTACTATTCTTGCGATAACATTGGTTCCTTTGATTATTATTTTGGAAAGTCTGACATACCTTACAAGAGTATATTTAGTCTTACATTCACATATGCATACCCATCCAAAACATCACATCTTAGTTTCTTAATTCCTAAATGATTTTCACGACTTAATTCCAACATTTCATTCCTTAACTTGTTGGAATTGTTTGTAATTGTGCCTTTAAAAATTCCTATTTAAAAAACTCCATCATGGGAGTCCACTTTTCCCTGTACTGCAAACATTTCCAGACTAAATGGTCTACCCTTTCTTGTATCCCATACATCTCCCAAAAGTCTGAAATACCTGACCAGTGACAAAATAGCAACATAATCGCTGGATAACATACATAAAGAGCCTGATAAACTTCTCACATTGTACCTGGCTGATGAAACATTTCTGCATCACTAAGCAGTGGGCAAAAGGAGACAACCAATTGAGCCCTGTAAGCCGGTTCCTGCTGAAGCTGCCTCTTCGCGTCACTTTTCCATCACAGGAAACGTGTGACTCCTTTCTAGGGAGAGAGACAAGAGGATATCAATAGAAGAATGCCGTAAAACTCTCTTAGCAAAGAAATCAGACTCGCTACCGACCAGACCTTCCTGAGCCGTTACCCAACAAAAACACAACCAGATTCACATAACGCAAAGTTATGTATTGGCAGAGCAACTCTTGCTTGCTGTCACAATTCTGTCAAGTCATTCATTCCATCCGCTTGAAAAGCCAGCAATCCTGTGGATGATATAAACCATCCTGGAGTCACCCAGTGAAGGGTGATGAAGAAACTGGTATTTAGAGAAAATTTTGAAGTTGGGTATGGGTTTCCTTTGTTTTAAAGTTCTCCCCTTTCTCTCTCTCTCTCTCTCAAGATACAACCCGACCAAAACGAGACTACGAAGTGGATGGGCGGGATTACCACTTTGTTACATCCAGAGAACAAATGGAAAAAGATATTCAGGATCACCGGTTCATTGAAGCCGGCCAGTACAACAACCATCTGTATGGGACAAGTGTTCAGTCTGTGCGGGAGGTGGCTGAGAAGGTAAGTTGCGGCGCCGCTTCCATCTGCCATTTCTGTGCAGACTGCCGGGGCCTCTCTTCCCCGTCCTTGCGTCTCAGTGGTGGCGGCACGAATGCGCGGTGCAGGCAGGCCTGCCGGTGTGCTTTGCCCCAGCTTCAGCACGCAAGGATTCGGGTTAACACAGCTCGCCTTCGTGACGGCCGTCACCTCCGTCCTGCTGGGGATGCACCCAAGCCCACTGATCGGCTGCATGTGCGCGTCCTAACCTGTGGGGATACGTGGCTCCGCAACAGCACCTGTGAAAGAGCCTCAGAGTTCTTGCAGGCTCTCACACGCTGCATGGGAGTCAGGCACGCGACGTGGCGGCAGGAAGGGCAGGTGGGGTTCTGCGCGGCCTCGGCAGAAGCACGGCTTCTAAGTCGGGCAAGGGGAGAGTTCCACCCTTCCCTGCGGTGGTCCGACCCGGCATCAAAGGCAGTGTTCCGCTCTGGACACCACATTCCAAGGAGGATTTAAATGCATATTCAGAGGAGGGCAGCCAGTACGCGCAGGGGCCTAGACACTTGGGTTCTGTCAGGGCGGGTTGAAGTTCTGTGTACCTTGAAAAGAGAAGCCCCAGTGGGGAGACCGTCACCATCTGCAAGTACCTCTCCTAAAAGAGGGCTGGGGCCTCTTCTCTGTCAGCCAAGACTTTAGGACAGGGGTCCTCGGACTTTTTCAAAAGGGGGCCAGTTGACAGGTGCCAGTGGTGGGCGCGGGCTGCCAAGGCAGTGCCGGTGGGGGTTTGGGGGCGCGGGCCGGTGAGGGGGCAGGACACCAGCTTGCTCGCGAGATCATTTTCTCTGAGCTAGTCCAAAATGACCTTCTCGCGAGCAAGCCACACACGTGTGCCTGGCGAGTGCAAAACCTGTGGGGCGGGCTGGTTAAATGGGCCGGATCCGTCCACGGGCCTTCGTTTGAGGACCCGTGCCTTAGGACATGAAAAAGCCAGCTTAATTGACAGGCAGGCAGGCAGACTTCAGTTGAACCCCAACAGTCGATGGAGCCAGCTGCCTGGGTGACTCCGCCACCGGCGTGCTCAGGCAGAGACAGGGCAGCCGCTTGCCGGGGGTGCTGAAGAGTGTTCCTGCACTGCGCCAGGCCAGGCGGGACGGCCCGGGTCCCCGTGCCGGGCTTCTGTGGCCCCATGCAGGTCCGCTTGCAGCAGCCACAGCAGAGCACAGCAGAGTCCAGGCGGCGGCAGCACACGTGGGCCACCTGAGCCACGTGCAGGGCAGGCACCGGAAGTGTCTCGGCCAGTGCCCGGAGGCCTCTGGGGCTGCGTGGCCCACCTGCTGCTTAGCCAGGCAGGAACCGTACATGTTCGAGTTCAAGCGCATCAGTGTGTGATGCAGAAAACAGCCAGTAATTTTCTAGTAATGACGCTACCCAGAGGAATCGTTTTTTGACAAGGTAGCCTCCAAAATGGACAGAGGAAACACTGTGGACATAGTCTACTCAGACCGTAGCAAAGCTTTCGACATGTTGCCCCATGACATTCTGCTAAGCAGATTAGCGAAAAGTGGACTAGAAAGAAAGACCTGTTGGGTGGATCCATGGTAGGCTGCTAAGTCAGGCGCAAAGAGCGCTCAGCAGTGGCTCCTTCTCAAACCAGAGGGAGGGCTGCTTCCACTTGGAACGCCGCAAAGCGGTTCCTGTTGGAACTCTGTGGCTCCAGGCCTCCGGCACAAAGGAGGCGCCTCCCAGCGAGGGCAGTCGGCGGAAAGACTCAGTGACCTGCGTCCTCAGGGACGGGCAGAGGGGCTTGGGCCGTGGGTGCTGTGCTTCGTGCGTCAGGCTCACCCTCTCGGCACCGCCTGCCCCAGCGCCCGGCTGTGCTCTGTCGAAACGGGCAGGGCAGGGCAGGGCAGGGCAGGGGCCGCGTGAGACGACAGCAGGGCACAAGCCTGCCCTCAGCACGCTGAAGCTTCAGAAACCTTTTGGGCCCCCAGACCCGCCACAGACGTTCAGGTGGCTGCTCTCAGATGGGGCATCTCACAAGGAGGGTCCCACATGGGCCTGCTGGACTGCCCTTCATGAAGAAGTTTTATCGAGGTCTGAATCAAGATGGCCGCAGCAGGCGCCCCCTGGTGCGTGAGTGTGCTCTGGTGGTACTCGGTTTTTCAGCCATGTCCACGCCTGCACCCTCCGCCCTGCCGCGTGAGTGGGCGACTGCCCCGCTTCTCGTGAAGCAGGTGCTGCCCATAGCGTTGACTAGGCTGGCTTGTGGACGGTGCCTGTGAACCGAGGTGCCTTCCTCCAGCGTGACCTGCGAGTCAAGGCCCGTGTGACCCGCTCCTTCCTGTAGAGGCCACGGCTGGGCCAGTCCGGGTGGGGGAGTGGGCCTTGGTGAGCCGGCTTCCTTCATTCGCGCCGCTGCAGAAGCTGCTATGAGTCTCGGCCGCTTCGTTTGCTTTCTTGCCGCGTGCTGACTCTCCTGCTTTCGCTATCCACAGAACTATTGTATGTATTTATATTCTGCCTATTCCCGGTCTGGGGACTCGGGCATAAACTCAAGCAGCCTTTTCCACCGCTCGCTGGCCTTGCCAGGACGAGCTTCATTTGGAGCGGCAGGGGGATGAGGGAGCAAGCCCAGGCGGGCTGCGCGGCCTCGGCGCCATCGGTGGCTCTGGGCCAAGGCCAGTGGCAGAGGCCACATGCCCTTTGGTGGCCCGGCTGGGCTCCCTGCCAGCTGCACAGGGCCGACCTCCATTTGACAGGCCCTCGGTCCATGCCCTGCTCCAAGTGCCGTTTTCCTCTTTCCCCAGGGAAAGCACTGCATCCTGGATGTCTCCGGAAACGCAATCAAGAGGCTCCAGGCGGCCCAGCTGCACCCAGTCTCCATCTTCATCAAACCCAAATCGGTGGAAAACATCATGTGAGTGAAGGAGGGCTGCCTGCGGGGACGGAGCGGCCCGGGCAGGCTGCTCCCGGAGGGCCAGGGGCTGTGCTCGCGAGGGCCCCTCCTGGTTCCTCTCCGGGTTGTTGGGCCTGGAGACTGACTGTGTCAATAAGCCAGTTTTGCACAACTGCTCAGTCCCAGCCTTGGCCGAGGCTTGGGCACAACCGTGGCTTGCTGTGGGTGATTTAATAATTCACGTGTGCATTTATTTCATTTTTATTCTGCAGAATAGCCAAGGCTGTCAGGGCAGTTACCTGTTTAGTTCATTTCAAGCATTTACATTTTACGGGCTGTGAGGTGCTGGCACAACTGGGCGCACAGAGCGGCTTTAAAGGAATGACTGCGTGCCGCCCGCTGTGCCGTGGCATCTCTAGGTGGCTCACAGTCAGACAAGCAAAGCCATTATAAAACTAAAAGAGCAACGACTCCTGATGCATCTTTAAAAATCCAATAAATAAACTACATCATTTAAAATATAAATAAAATACAAATAGAGGATTCGTGGCTTCAAATATTAACATGTTTTTTAATAAGAATGTCTTCGCTTGGCGCAGAAAAGAGTATAAGGAAGGCACCAGGTGGCCCCCCCTTGGGGGGAGCATTGCAGATGTGGGAGGAGCGGCAGAAAAGCTCCCCCTCCAAGCAGCCGCCCCCCTCACTTCCCCAGGGGGTGGCTCACGCAGGAGGGCCCTCCGCGTACTTCCCAAAGGCCAGGTCGGCACACGTGGGCGTAGGCGCTCCTTAGGCAACCAAGGCCTCAGCCGCTGGGGCCTTGGGATGTCAACACAGGCCCCGTGAACTGGGGCCAGGCCACAGTCGGCAACCGGTGCGGCGCTTTCCGTATGGGTGCCACGCGGGCCACTCCGGGAGCTCCCCTCACTGACCACGCAGCCCCGCTTTGTGGCAGTTGCGATGCTGGAGCGCTCCCGAGGGCAGCCCTGCGCAGTGCGCGTTGCAAGCCTGTCCTGGGTGCTGCCAGCGCGTGGGCAGCGACGTTCAGGCTTGCTCTGTCCGGGTGCGGGTGAAGTTGATAAATCCGACGCAGTTGGAGGAAAGCAGCCCTGACCACCAAGCTCCCCTGGCATTCCAGGGACAAACCTGGATCCAGGAGCACCCCCAGACTGCGGACCTTGTCCCTCACGGGGGAGTGTGAACCCATCCAGGTCAGGGCAATGCCCGTCCAGTCTGTCAGATGACCCCCCCCCCCAGGAGCACCTCCATCTTGTCTGGATTGAGCCTCATCCAGTCCATGATTGAGCTCAGGCCCCGGTTCATGACAGCAACACCCTCACCTGGATGAGATGTAAAGGAGAGGTAGAGCTGAGTTTCACCGGCATATTGCTGAGACCTCAGCCCACCCCTCTGGTGACCTCTCCCAGCAGCTTCGTATCAGTGGTAAGGAGCATGGGGGACAGTGTAAGCCCTGCGCACCCCCATGACGCACCGCCCTGTGCAGAGCGTCTCTCTCCCGGCACTGCCTTCCGGACACCGCCAGCGAGCCAGGAGTGGAACCACCGCAAAGCAGTGCCGCCTCCTGTGGCCCCGTCCAGAAGGACACCGTGGTCGACGGTGTCGACGGCCACCGAGCGGTCGAGGAGAAGCGACGGGGCTGCACTCCCCCGGCTCTCGCCCTGCAAAGGCCGTCATGCAGGGCAGCTGCCTCCATCCCAAGCCCAGGCCTAAGCCCTGTTGAAGTGGATCCAGACCATCCGCGTTCCCCAAGAGGGCCTGGAGCTGCCCGGCCACCATGTGCTGCAGCACCTTGCCCAGGGAGGGGAGGGTGTCCCATATCCCTGGATGAGCTCTTGAACATCTCTGAGCAGCCTTCCTCAACTGCACTCTCCCCGTCTCCCTTCGCACTTCATTTCCCTCAGCTCGTCGCCATCCCAGGGTGCCGAGTGGGCTGCGGGGGGTGGGGGCCCTTTGGCGTGAACGGATCCCTTGCCCAAGCCATTTTCCTGTTCCATAGGGCGACTTGGGCTTCCACAGGCGTGCCAGCCGTATGAGCCAGGTAGACCCCCAGAGCCCTTTGGAAGCCCTCTGGATCCCTTGGACTCCAAGGACGGATCGTTTGAATTGATCCCCCGCCCTTGCGGAGAGGGAAAGGAGGCGATAGCTGAAACTTAACCAGATAGTGGACCAACCATGACAAAGGGCGAGATGCCAGCCCCTCCACATCGGAACCCCCATCCCCCTGTCCCGTTGAACAGACCCAGACCAGAGCGTGACCTTGCCCATGTGATGGGCTGCTGGCATGCTGAGACAGCCCTGTGGTTGTCTTGGCCACCGTGACGTCCTCAGCTACCCCAGCCAAGCGGCTTCAAAGTGAAAGTCCCCCAGCATCCCAGGGATTCTCACAACCAGGTCCAAGAAGACCTCCCTCAGCTGAGGCAGGGGGTCAGTATATTAACAGAACCCCTAACCCAGTGGTGGTGAACCGATGGCACGCATGCCACGGCAGGCACGCAGAGCCCTGCCGGGATGTGAGAGAAGTCACGCCAGCATCACTCCAGCAGCCGAGCATTAGATAACAGTGCATCTGAGCGCATGCTCAGAAAGGAGTAGTGGCGGCAGGCGATGACGTCACAAGCCGTGACTCATCAGCCAGGACTCGTCCATGCTATCGCATGGCCGGTCAACACACTGCCAAGGATACATACATATTTACTTGCACTGGCTATGAGTTCTTTTTTCCAAACTAAAACCTCAGTTTTCAGGTTTTATGGCAGTGTTGGCACTTTGCAATACATATGTGGGTTTTGGGTTGCTTGGTCCCTAAAAGATTCGCCATCGCTGCATTGAAGTAAGAAAAACGAGGTGTCCTGGTATGATTTCGATGGTTGGAATGTGTTTAGAATGGGCAGAAATGTTGATCTGTTGAGAAAAAGCTACTCAAGGATGGCTTTTTCAAAATCGCCCCTTTCAGTGGTATTTTAACCCTCTGTTAGGGTTAGGGGTGTGCACCAGGATAGGGTAAGGGTTCGGAAAACAAGGAGTCCTGGCATGATTTTGATAATTGGAATGTGTTTAGAATGGGCAGAAATGATGGGCCGTGCAGAAAAAGCTACTCAAGGAAGACTTTTTGAAAATCGCCCCGTTTAATGGACCATTATTCGGGTTAGGGATTGCACCAGGGTAGGGTTAGGTTTAGGAAAATGAGGTGTCCAGGCATGATTTTTATGGTTGGAATGTCTTTAGAATGGGCAGAAATGATGAGCTGTGCAGAAAAAGCTACTCAAGGAGGGGTTTTTCAAAATCGCCCCATTTAATGGAACTTTTCTCCTCTATTAGGGTTAGGGTTTGCACCAGGGTAGGGTTGGGGTTAGGAAAACGAGGCGTCCTGGAATGATTTTGATGGTTAGAACGCATTTAGAATGGGCAGAAACGATGAGCTGTGCAGAAGCTGCTACTAAAGGAGGGCTTTTTCAAAATCGCCCCTTCCACTGGTATTTTATCCCACTATTAGTGTTGGGGGTGCGCACCAGGGTCGGGTTAGGGCTGGGAAAATGAGGTGTGCTGGCATGATTTTCATGGCTGGAATGAGTTTAAAATGCGCAGAAATGATGAGCTGTGCAGAAAAAGCTACGCAAGTAGGGCTTTTTCTAAATAGCCCCTCTTAATGGAACTGTACCCCTCTCTTGGGGTTTGGTGTGTGCACCAGGGTAGAGTTAGGGTTAGGAAAACGAGATGTCCTGGCATTCTTTTGACAGTTGGAGTGACTTTAGAATATGCAGAAATGAACAGCTGCTCAGGAAAATTTAGTCAAGGAAGGGTTTTTCAAAATGAGCCGTTCCAGTGGTATTTTATTCTTCTATAAGGGTTTGGGGTGTGCAGCAGGGTAGGGTTACGGTTGGGAAATCGAGATGTCCTGGCATGATTTTGACAGTTGGAATGCCTTTTGAACGGGCAGAAATGA